CCTCTCACATTTCCATCAGATATTTCTATTCAGAGATTTAATGTAGCATTCTTGTTCTAAAGAGAGCTGGTTTTCCCATGAGACTGTACCTGGGTGCTTTTGGTCATGTAGTGTATATTAGTGTTTTATTTTTCATTCATGTTTTACAAATGTTAGAATTTTTCTTCCACTTTGAGTACAGAGTATTTTGTGTAGATCAGTGACACAAAAATGACAATTAAATCCATTTTAATCCCACCTTGTAACAACAAAATGTGTAAAAAGTCAAGGGGTGTGAATACTTTCTGAAGGCACTGTAACTGGTTTTAATGTATAGGAATGGTAACCATAGATTGTAACCTTTCGACCGCCATCATCAGTAGTGTGCAACTGCAGCTCGCAATTTGGGGCGTTCCTGCATGTGGGCATTCCTGCACAGTGGCGGTCAGTGCCATTTATGATGAGGGAGGACCAATTTTGTTTTTCATGAGCATGACCTTATTTCTATTACAGCATGTTGGATGACTGTCATTCATATTCCTTTCACCCAATTCATTGTAACATCGATATGTTTAGGCTACTACATGATACACACATTTTCCCTATACCCATCATGAGGTTGCTACAACCTAGCCTATGAATGAAAGTTTACAATGTAGATGCACACAGGTCGAGAGAAAAATGTGAGATGACAGACAGTGACACATTCAATACCGCCTTGCACACTCTTGCCTGCATCTAGCTTATTTAGGGTGTAATCATTAGTCCAACAGTTGCAAACAAGAGTTTCTATTGGACAAATTCAGGCATTTCTATCCCCGTTTCGTTTGCTTCCGTTTAAGAAACGTTTTTCAACAGAATCGGCAGAATTAATCTACTCTTGATCACGCATAAACACAGTTCACTTTCATAGCAGCCACGTTGTATTCCTTATCGCCTCTATGCACTCTCCTCCTCTCACCTTTTCCCTTTGTTTGTGGACTTCAATGAACAACACATCAGCTGTATGTGACCAGGTGAAAAAATATTTCCAAGCAAAACCATGTCATAACCGCTACACACAGCCTACAACGTTGTCCCCATATTAGCTATAGTAACGTCCTAGTCAACATAGCTAATATAACTAATGCATTAGTAAACCCGCTACAATCATGCAGTAACGTTACAGTGTATAGTCAGTAAGCAGTTAACTAAACTAGCCAGCTTTATTTGCTAGCTAAGTAAATGAAACTTCTCCTTCATTTTTGATGAAATTAATTTGTTGAAAACTGTTCAACTATTGTCTTTCTCTCTCTTTGAGTCAACTACTCACCAAATGTTATGCACTGCAGTGCTAGCTAGCTGTAGCTTGTGCTTTCAGTACTAGATTAATTATCTGATCCTTTGATTGGGTGCTGCAAGAGCTCTGATAAGTTGGAGGACATCCTCCGGAAGTTGTCATAATTACTTTGTAAGTCTATGGAAGGGGGTGAGAACCAAGAGCCTTGTAGGTTTTGTATTGAAGTCAATGTACCAAGAGGAGGACGGAAGCTAGCTGTCCTCCGGCTACACCATGGTGCTACCCTACAGAGTGCTGTTGAGGCTACTGTAGACCTTCATTGCAAAACAGTGTTTTAATCAATTATTTGGTGATGTGAATATATTCAGTATAGTTTTATCTAAAAAGGATAACTTTTTCTATGATTTACAATTTAAATTTTTATGAAATTCACTGAGGAAGATGGTCCTCCCCTTCCTCCTCTGAGGAGCCTCCACTGTTTCTGAGTCTGCAGGAACCCCACCCTCGAGCATCGCATGTTCTGCTAAACTAATGCACAGATAGTATAGTTTGATAAAGACCTTCAATAGGCTGATGATTGTATTATTACTGCTGTCTGGTCAGTGCATATAATCTAACTTTTACTGCCTATGCGCTTCAGAGGTCTGTATATTATGAAGATTACAGTAAGGAAATTGTGACGCAAAGGCACATCTTCTCATGCTTTTCTGGTTTGGAAGGTGTAGTCAATAGTCACCACGGCCACAAAGTCATAAACCCTGCCTATTTCTACAATGTATCTTCTTAAAATGTGAATGTAAACCTAACCTTAACCACACTGATAGTCCTATGCCTAACCCTAGCTTTAAATTAAGACCATAAAGATAATTTTTGTTTTCATGAATTACGATATATTTGTACTTTGTGGCTGTGGAAACCCTTGGAAGGGCATCAACCGAGTCCGCGCCGACCCCGACCAGACAGTCGGGAGGCCGGATGCAGTGGGACACAAACTTCGAGCAGAGAACGCCTATCGGTCGTCAGATTAGCCATTTCAGTTCTAATTGCCTCATCGTCTCGCATATTGCAGGTCAATTGCAATAGCTTTGGTGAGTGTATGTGTGCGAAACAACCAATAAGCCTATTATCAATGTTCCAGACAGACATTATAAGACCCCGGCCCGAGACTACCATTGCACTGCAGTAGTGTCATCGCTTAATAATATTGAATAGCCTACTGTGGTAAATGGCTCCCTTCAGCATCATTTAGTGATGCCCGTTTTTAGTGCGTGCGCTATTTTTGATGATAGCATCAGATATGACCATGCAGTAGGCTACATATTGAATAGCTGCACCATCAAGAGCATCCTGACTGGTTGCATCACGACTGCAAGGCACTACAGAGGGTAATGCATATGGCCCAGTACATCACTGGGGCCAAGCTTCCTGCCATCCAGGACCTCTATACCAGGCGGTGTCAGAGGAAGGCCCTAAAAATTATCAAAGACTCCAGCCACCCTAGTCATAGACTGTTCTCTCTGCTAACGCGCGCCAAGTCTAGGTCCAAAAGGCTTCTTAACAGCTTCTACCCCCAAGCCATAAGACTCCTGAACAGCTAATCATGGCTACCCAGACTATTTGCATTGCCCACCCCAACCCCCTCTTTTACGCTGCTGCTACTCTGTTTATTATTTATGCATAGTCACATTAACTCTACCCACATGTACATACAGTGGGGAGATCAAGTATTTGATACACTGCCGATTTTGCAGGTTTTCCTACTTACAAAGCATGTAGAGGTCTGTAATTTTTATCATAGGTACACTTCAACTGTGAGAGACGGAATCTAAAACAAACATCCAGAAAATCACATTGTATGATTTTTAAGTAATTAATTTGCATTTTATTGCATGACATAAGTATTTGATACATCAGAAAAGCAGAACTTAATATTTGGTACAGAAACCTTTGTTTGCAATTACAGAGATCATATGTTTCCTGTAGGTCTTGACCAGGTTTGCACACACTGCAGCAGGGATTTTGGCCCACTCCTCCATACAGACCTTCTCCAAATCCTTCAGGTTTCGGGGCTGTCGCTGGGCAATACGGACTTTCAGCCCCCCCAAAGATTTTCTATTGGGTTCAGGCCCATCCATCCTCCCCTCAATACGGTGCAGTCGTCCTGTCCCCTTTGCAGAAAAGCATCCCCAAAGAATGATGTTTCCACCTCCATGCTTCACGGTTGGGATGGTGTTCTTGGGGTTGTACTCATCCTTCTTCTTCCTCCAAACACGGCGAGTGGAGTTTAGACCAAAAAGCTATATTTTTGTCTCATCAGACCACATGACCTTCTCCCATTCCTCCTCTGGATCACCCAGATGGTCATTGGCAAACTTCAGACGGGCCTGGACATGCGCTGGCTTGAGCAGGGGGACCTTGCATGCGCTGCAGGATTTTAATCCATGACGGCGTAGTGTGTTACTAATGGTTTTCTTTGAGACTGTGGTCCCAGCTCTCTTCAGGTCATTGACCAGGTCCTGCCATGTAGTTCTGGGCTGATCCCTCACCTTCCTCATGATCATTGATGCCCCACGAGGTGAGATCTTGCATGGAGCCCCAGACCGAGGGTGTTTGACCGTCATCTTGAACTTCTTCCATTTTCTAATAATTGCGCCAACAGTTGTTGCCTTCACACCAAGCTGCTTGCCTATTGTCCTGTAGCCCATCCCAGCCTTGTGCAGGTCTACAATTTTATCCCTGATGTCCTTGCACAGCTCTCTGGTCTTGGCCATTGTGGAGAGGTTGGAGTCTGTTTGATTGAGTGTGTGGACAGGTGTCTTTTATACAGGTAACGAGTTCAAACAGGTGCAGTTAATACAGGTAATGAGCGGAGAACAGGAGAGCTTCTTAAAGAAAAACTAACAGGTCTGTGAGAGCCGGAATTCTTACTGGTTGGTAGGTGATCAAATACTTATGTCATGCAATAAAATGCAAATTAATTACTTAAAAATCATACAATGTGATTTTCTGGATGTTTGTTTTAGATTCCGTCTCTCACAGTTGAAGTGTACCTATGATAAAAATTACAGACCTCTACATGCTTTGTAAGTAGGAAAACCTGCCAAATCGGCAGTGTATCAAATACTTGTTCTCCCCACTGTATTACCTCAATTACCTCGACTAACCGGTGCCCCCAAACATTGACTCTGTACCAGTACCCCCTGTATATAACCTCCCTACTGGGCTTGTAAGTAAGCATTTCACTGTAATGTCTACACCTGTTGTATTTGGCGCATGTGGCAAATAACATTTGATTTGATTCAGCATAGTGGCTGTGAAGATCAGATGGCAGTCTCCCTCACTTTGCTGTGTTACAATGTGCTTGAAGGCTGTGGACAGAATATAAAAGTAGCCTAATTACATAACAACAATATGTAAAGTCATATACCATTACTTTGTAATTTATTTTTAAGTTAATATCAGACTCCTATTACTTAATGTATTTCAATTTTTTAAATGCTTTAAAATGTTATACCGGTACATCAACTTTAATTTAATTGAATATTGTTCAAATAGTGAATAAATTAGTAATTCTTATTAAGGAAATAGACATGAAAATGTTATGACTTACTAAGAAATGAAATACTAAAATACTAGGCCTAAACCTACTGCTAGAATAAATCAACCTTGTGTTTCAGATTGTCTGGGGCCATACCCTTCTAGAGCCTTTGGAAACCTGGCACAACAAGGACACAACTTCACCATGTCAGCAACCATTCAGAGAAAGACTGGCTTGGCCAACTCTGCCGAAGCCAAGAAAACAGAGCTCAGAATGAATGAGAAGAAATGTTGTAAGTACTGATAAGCCTCCCAGAGAAAATCTTCAATGCAGGAGAGCTGTACACAGGCAGGGTCATGGGCAGGACGGCAACAATTCCTCTGCAGTCTGCATGATTGCCTCAGGTTGTTTTGACTGGCACAGAATGAGTCTGCAGGTGTTGTTTTGTTTTGGCTTTATCTCCGAAAGTTTTGCCAGTTATGAATTAAAGCTGTCCCTATGCCTGAGATGCAACACATGTAGCTGATGCACACATTCTCAAGCAAATTATTTTAAAAGGAATACATGTGCATCAATAATATTGTGAGAGATTAGTCTTCTCTGAAAATTATTCCATTGGGCATAATTTTGACAAATTATTCATTCTCTTTCCACATATTTTTATCATGCATATTATATTGAAATATGATTATAATTAGCCCATATTCTGTACAGTATTCAGCCTATCTGCAGTCCTGTTGCATCCGTAATTGATATGAGAATAGCAAACTATGGCTTGCCAGTGCACTTTGATCTATCCCTTTTCATCTGAGTATACAGTACATGGGAAATCAAGGACAATAAATTAATCCAGTTATGTTTGATCCCACCAACCAACCACTTTGATAGTTAAATTGTTTTGCCTTATCTAGTGTATCTCATTTCATTGTCAGGGCTGTGTATAATTTGTAGGTACAGTGAGGGGAAAAAATATTTGATCCCCTGCTGATTTTGTACGTTTGCCCACTGACAAAGAAACGATCAGTCTATAATTTTAATGGTAGGTTTATTTGAACAGTGAGAGGCCGAATAACAACAAAAATATCCAGAAAAACGCATGTCAAAAATGTTATAAATTGATTTGCATTTTAATGAGGGAAATAAGTATTTGAGCCCCTCTCAATCAGAAAGATTTCTGGCTCCCAGGTGTCTTTTATACAGGTAACGAGCTGAGATTAGGAGCACACTCTTAAAGGGAGTGCTCCTAATCTCAGCTTGTTACCTGTATAAAAGACACCGGTCCACAGAAGCAATCAATCAATCAGATTCCAAACTCTCCACCATGGCCAAGACCAAAGAGCTCTCCAAGGATGTCAGGGACAGAATTGTAGATCTACACAAGGCTGGAATGGGCTACAAGACCATCGCCAAGCAGCTTGGTGAGAAGGTGACAACAGTTGGTGCGATTATTTGCAAATGGAAAAAACACAAAAGACCTGTCAATTTCCCTCGGCCTGGGGCTCCATGCAAGATCTCACCTCGTGGAGTTGCAATGATCATGAGAACGGTGAGGAATCAGCCCAGAACTACACGGGAGGATCTTGTCAATGATTTCAAGGCAGCTGGGACCATAGTCACCAAGAAAACAATTGGTAACACACTACGCCGTGAAGGACTGAAATCCTGCAGCGCCCGCAAGGTCCCCCTGCTCAAGAAAGCACATATACAGGGCCGTCTGAAGTTTGCCAATGAACATCTGAATGATTCAGAGGAGAACTGGGTGAAAGTGTTGTGGTCAGATGAGACCAAAATCGAGCTCTTTGGCATCAACTCAACTCGCCGTGTTTGGAGGAGGAGGAATGCTGCCTATGACCCCAAGAACACCATCCCCACCGTCAAACATGGAGGTGGCAACATTATGCTTTGGGGGTGTTTTTCTGCTAAGGGGACAGGACAACTTCACCGCATCAAAGGGACGATAGACGGGGCCATGTACCGTCAAATCTTGGGTGAGAACCTCCTTCCCTCAGCCAGGGCATTGAAAATGGGTCGTGGATGGGTATTCCAGCATGACAATGACCCAAAACACACGGCCAAGGCAACAAAGGAGTGGCTCAAGAAGAAGCACATTAAGGTCCTGGAGTGGCCTAGCCAGTCTCCAGACCTTAATCCCATAGAAAATCTGTGGAGGGAGCTGAAGGTTCGAGTTGCCAAACGTCAGCCTCGAAACCTTAATGACTTGGAGAAGATCTGCAAAGAGGAGTGGGACAAAATCCCTCCTGAGATGTGGGCAAACCTGGTGGCCAACTACAAGAAACATTTGACCTCTGTGATTGCCAACAAGGGTTTTGCCACCAAGTACTAAGTCAGTTTGCAGAGGGGTCAAATACTTATTTCCCTCATTAAAATGCAAATCAATTTATAAAATTTTTGACATGCGTTTTTCTGGATTTTTATGTTGTTATTCTGTCTCTCACTGTTCAAATAAACCTACCATTAAAATTATACACTGATAATTTCTTTGTCAGTGGGCAAACGTACAAAATCAGCAGGGGATCAATACTTTTTTCCCTCACTGTATACTGCATAGACAGCATACAGTAGTATCTGATCTAGTCCAATGCTAATGCACTATAGTATGTCTGTCTGTCTTTCTGTTCAGCATGGGCATCCTACATGACAAACTCTCCCACAGATATGTCTAAGAAACTGACACGATACCTCAACTGGATAGAGGTGCCAACCAAAGGTGAGTGGGGAAAGACAGCCTCTCTACAACTTCACTTTTGAAGACATTAGACATGTCCCTTTAAGTCTTCCATTATGACAGACTATTGACTATTAACCCTCTAGTTTTTTAGATATCTTTAAATAAGCACTTCACTCAACTTTAAATCACAAGTGTATTGTGGCCTACAAATGTACCTTCATTAATTAGGTAACTGTCAAGTTTTAAATCAAAGTTTTAAAGCTCCTGAGAACCGAGACGCCCCATGTTGAATAGGATCCTACTTTAAACCAGTCCCATTTCTATGATAGGAGACAATAGACCATGTAGACACTGATACGCTAGTCATAACTCTATTGTTGATGCCATTTTGTTCATTTTGTAGTGTTTAACTTGGGTGTCTACCGCCGAGAGGCCGTCAAAGCTTACAAGTCCTACGACTTCTTCAGGCACAACAACAAAGAAGCCATGGAAATAAGGAAGTAAGTTACATTTGTTTTATTCATGCAGTGATATGCATGAATCATACTGAAAAAGCAGTCACAACTGCGTTGCACACTTGAGTTCACATATGAGAGCCAAAGTTTTGTATGAATGGTAACATGCAAGAAAAAACGTTCATTAATCAAGTATTGTGTCTCCTTCAGCATGGTCAGATCTGAGTCAATCTCATTACTCCAGCAGTACACCAGGTTCTCTCCTGCTTGATTTCACAGGTTTACTTTGCATCCTTGGCTGCTGTGTCAATGGCTAATGAGTTTCTGAATCAACACACTGTCTGCTGTGCAAGCAGTTATTCATTGTACAAAAGACCCATATTCTATTAACAGAATACAGTGCATTCAGAAAGTATTCAGACCCCTTCCCATTTTAGAAATTGTGTTACGTTACAGCCTTATTCTAAAATTGATTGAATTAAAAATGTTCCTCATCAATCTACAACCAATACCCCATAATGACAAAGCGAAAACAGGTTTTTAGATTTTTTTGCAAATGTATAAAAAAAGAAAAACCTTATTTTATTCAGACCCTTTGCTAAGAGACTCGAAATTGAGCTCAGGTGCATCCTGTTTCCATTGATCATCCTTGAGATGTTTCTACAACTTGATTGGAGTCCACCTGTGGTAAATTCAATTGATTGGACATGATTTGGAAAGGCACACACCTGTCTATATAAGGTCCCACAGTTGACCGTGCATGTCAGAGCAAAAACCAACCAATGAGGTCAAAGGAATTGTCCGTAGCGCTCCGAGACAGGATTGTGTCGAGGCACAGATCTGGGGAAGGGTACCAAAAAATTTCTCCAGCATTGAAGGTCCCCAAGAACACAGTGGCCTCCATCATTCTTAAATGGAAGAAGTTTGGAACCACCAAGACTCTTCCTAGAGCTGGCCTGCCCGGCCAAACTGAGCAATTGGGGGAGAAGGGCCTTGGTCAGGGAGGTGACCAAGAACCCGATGGTCACTCTGACAGAGCTCCAGAGTTCCTCTGTGGAGATGGAAGCACCTTCCTGAAGGACAACCATCTCTGCAGCACTCCACCAATCAGGCCTTTATGGTAGAGTTGCTAAACGGAAGCCACTCCTCAGTAAAAGGCACATGACAGCCCGCTTGGAGTTTGCCAAAGGGCACCTAAAGGACTCTCAGACCATGAGAAACAAGATTCTGTGGTCTGATAAAACCAATATTGAACTCTTTGGCCTGAATGCCAAGTGTCACGTCTGGAGGAAACCAGGTCATCCCTACAGTGAAGCATGGTGGTGGCAGCATCATGCTGTGGGGATGTTTTTCAGCGGCAGGGACTGGGAGACTAGTCAGGATTGAGGGAAAGATGAACGGAGCAAAGTACAGAGAGCTCCTTGATGAAAACCTTCTCCAGAGCGCTCAGGACCTCAGACTGGGGTGAATGTTCACCTTCTAACAGGACAACGACGCTAAGCACACAGCCAAGATGACGAAGGAGTGGCTTCGGGACAAGTCTCTGAATGTCCTTGAGTAGCCCAGCCAGAGCCCGGACTTGAACCCGAACATCTCTGGAGAGACCTGAAAATAGCTGTGCAGCGATGCTCCCCAACCAACCTGACAGAGCTTGAGAGCACACACACACATACACACATACACACACACACCAGTTGCGGGATTCAAACTGAAATGTGCTTAGTTTTTCATAGTAATTTGTGGTGGATTACTATTTTCCAACTAGCTGAACGTTTTCTAAGCAAGGTACAAAAATGTATCCAGTATAATTACTGAATGAGACGTACATCTGAATAGGCTCAGAAAGTGAATGTAGTAGTCTGTGTAGAGAATTGCCCTTTATGGACCTGTAAACAGCTGTAAGGCTCTTGACATCACAGAATGCTGATCTAAATACACTGCTGCTGCTGTCCCTCTTCTGCTCATATGAGCCTTGCAAAATGTTGAATCGGTATGTTCCGTCACTGTTCTGTCAGTCTGTCAGTGTTACTATTCAGGTGTCGGTACAGAAGAAAGATTGGCATACAGTATATAATTCTGGTCTACTGGCCCGCTTACCTTACAATCAAACATTAAATGAGCAAACAAATGATACAGGCGCCTTTAAGATAAAGTATCTAATAAAAAAAGTATAGTTGTCTGAGTTTGGATTGCATACCTGCTCCCTTTGCTGCAGACCCACTGTTGAGCCCTTTGATGCAGACAACTGTAATTGTATTTCCCTCTCCTCTCCCACAGACAGTGTGCCCTGGTAGCCCTGGAGGATGTGAAGGGATATCTAACTGAAGAAGGTGGACAAATTGCTCTATGGCATTTACTCTCTCATTTTGGTTCCTTTTTGTCTGCTCGATATATTTGATGTTTATCCACCAGTTTTGTGATGTTTGCTTTGCTTTGATTAGGTATTTGATGCAACAAACACGACAAGGCAGAGGAGAGACCTCATTCTTGATTTTGGGAAAGAGAATGCGTTCAAGGTAACATGCAATGTGCTACATTGCCAAATATATTTTTGTGTTAGAATTGTATCTCCATACAACATTACTCTGTATTATGGACAGCCATTTAATATTGAGATTCATCTGATAGTGTGTGGTCATGTGACTCTGCATCCAGCCCTGTGGTGAGGCAGTATATTGTTGTAGTTTAGTCTGAGCTATTGTCTTTCCAACAGGTGTTCTTTGTGGAGTCAGTGTGTGACAACCCAGAAGTCATTGCTGCTAATATTCTGGTATGTTCCGATGTCGCCATGTGGGATTGTAGTGCTTTACTATGACCCCAGGCCAGGGTCAAAACTATAACATATCTATACACTGACAATATCCCTGCTATGTGACAACTCTCATTCTTTCTTTGCCCACATTCTAATGTGTTATATCTCTATACAGGAGGTGAAGGTATCCAGTCCAGACTACACAGAGAGACACAGAGAGAGAGTGATGGATGACTTTCTCAAATGCATAGAGTGCTATAAGGTTACATACCAACCTTTGGATCCCGATGATTATGACAAGTAAGAATGACCAAAGCATATTGTCTATCTCAGTGTGTTGCATTTGAATAGGAGATTGCCAGGGGGGCTCCCTAGCCTTTTGGGGGCCCTAAGCTAGATTTGGTTGGGGGTCCCCCACCTCGTGGCAAAACATTTTAGTGGCCCCCCTCTTGATTTAAAAAAAAGTTAATTTCCTACAATTCTACTCTTTTTGTCATTACTTATGCCATGTTAATATGATATCTGAGTGAGAGCGACTAACTAAATCAATCAGGGCCCCCTGGAGGTCAGGGCACATGCCCTGCGTGCCCGGTCGGTATTCGGCCATGATTACTACAAGTTTAGAGAGCTGGCTAGACTAACTACCAATCTAAAAATTGTTAGCTGACATGGCGGAGTGACTGATCATGTGTTGTTATACCTAGTAGGTGATAACAGTAGTTCTCCAGAATTCCTGTAAATTTGCTGCGACAGTTCAGATGTAAGCCACCAGGTGGAGACAGAATACAGACAGACAATTGTGTTACTGTGTGTCCCGTAGGGACCTATCCTTCATCAAGGTGGAGAATGTGGGCCGGCGCCTCCTGGTGAACCGGGTGCAGGACTACATCCAGAGTAAGATAGTGTTCCACCTCATGATTTCACCTCATATCCAAGTCCACTCTCACTCCCTCTACCTGTGCAGGCATGGAGAGAGCAATCGCAACACGGAGGGCCGTATCGGCGGCGACTCAGAACTCTCCCCAGGAGGAAAACAGGTACTGTATGTGTCTTGTGTGCCATAAGGGTTAGGACCAGTCTAGAGAAAGCAGTCAGCATGACACTGACCCCTGTATTTGAGTCAGTGGACCCTACCAGTTTCTATTTCGATTTAGTTACAGCTAATGGAAAATACTAAATAAAGCTCCTGTACTTTGAATTTGAGTAAACACTGGTAATCTGATCATGTAATTATTATGTACTCTTAAATAGTTAATAAAAAGTACCCTGATGGATGGGCCTGTTATTGACACTAATCTCGCTTCACTAGTTTTACTTTCTCCTTTGCCCATTCTGGTCCAGTTTGCTCATGCCTTGCACGGCTTCATTGAGGAGCACAAACTGTCTGACTTGAAGGTATGGACTAGCCAGCTGAGACGCACCACCCAGACTGCTGAGGAGCTGATTGTGCCCTACGAACAGTGGAAGATCCTCAATGAGATCAATGCTGTCAGTACTGACTTTACCTCTGATCTCTCACCTATCACTGGTCTAACATAATGAATACCATGATGGTTTAATTTAAGTAGACACCTTTTGTGATGAAAATGAACTTGTTCTGTTATAAAGGACTTGTAATATTCATTGTTTGTATAATAATTTAGATGTATCATTACCTGGCAACTCAACTGACAAGTGACATTTTCCAGAGTTCTCTCTTTCCTGTCTGTTAGGGTGTGTGAGGATATGACCTATGATACAATCCATAAATCATTCCCAGAGGAGTTTGCCCTGAGGGACCAGCACAAGTACCGCTATAAATAAATAAATAAATAAATTGGTCATTTAGCAGACGCTCTTATCCAGAGCGACTTACAGGAGCAATTAGGGTTAAGTGCCTTGCTCAAGGGCACATCGACAGATTTTTCACCTAGTCGGCTTGGGGATTAGAACCAGCGACCTTTCGGTTACTGGTACAACGCTCTTAACCACTAAGCTACCTGCCGCCCAGGGAGAGAGGTAAAGTCCTACCTTCTTACCACTTTTATGGGAGTTACCACTTTTATGGGGCCCTACTCTTGGTAGGGTGAGGGATCACTAAGGCTCAGTATGTCCCCTCTCCCTCCCTGTAGTCCTACCAGGACCTGGTGCAGCGGTTAGAGCCTGTCATCATGGAGCTAGAGAGACAGGGCAACGTGCTGGTCATCTGTCACCAGGCTGTCATGCGCTGCCTGCTAGCCTACTTCCTGGACAAGAGTGCAGGTGGGTGAGCACACACTGCACAGTACACTTTTACTGACAGTTTCACAAACACCAGAGGTAATTGACACTTTGTTTGGACTATTTTTGTCTTTCATAGATGACCTGCCCTACCTGAAATGTCCACTGCACACAGTGCTCAAGCTCACCCCTGTTGCATATGGTAAGTCTTTTGCAGAACAAATTGTTCTGACAATTATTTTATGCATGTTCACATCTGAGTTCCTGTTCCTCTGTCACCACTTGTCGTTTGTATGGCAATTAGGAACGGGTCACATCAATTTCTCTGCAACTTTCCCCAGGCTGTAAAGTGGAAATGTTGTACCTTAACGTGAAGGCAGTGAACACACATCGCGACCGACCACTTGTAAGTAACATTGCATGTTATCCTCAGTGGCAAGGTTCTGCTCTGTCTGCTCACATATCACATGCTTCATGGAACATATTCTTGGTTATTTTTCCTCTTTAACCAAAGTAGCTCAAGCTAGAGTATGTCTGGTTAATTGAGTAGTTAGTGTGACTTTATATTTAACTTGGAGGAAGCTATGACTGATCACGTTTCCCTGCTTGCAAACACCGCCACCAATGCTCCGGCCCCCTTTAATAACTTGTTTTGTTGTTGTGGTGGTTGGTCAAGGAAAACAATTGTTTGATTGCTGTGTTTTGGGGAATTGTCCCAGTAATGCTGGGTGTGCCCGGGTCTCTTTCTTTAATGCACCTGGTGTTTCCCCATCTCCAACCAGGATAAGGTCCCGAGGGACCCAGCTCCCATCCTGCTCCGGTGGAATAGTTATACCCCCCTTTCCAGTCACTACCAGTTCAACCGGCCCTGGCTCACCGAGATGCCAGAGGGGATGCTGCAGCAAAGCCAAGTTAGTGTCAGAAATTGGCGCCCACTTAATTAATCACTCTGTCACCTCCCTCTTCCCACCTGCCACCCCCACCCCAAGCCAATCACTCTTTATCCTTAGCATCCCCTCACTCTTAAATCCCCTTGATAATCCAGACATGTTGTGGTCTTGTTGGTGGCTTCTCCTCTTTGTGTTATGTCTGTCTCTCCCACAACATCAGCTGTTTGTCTTGCATGGCCTCCCCTTTTCTTCATAGGCTGAAGAATATGTATAGCACTATTCCTTTCCCAAACAAACTGCACCACTTACCTCTTTTACTCATTTACGTCTTCTGAATACCATTCCAGAAGATACACAGTTAAAACGTCTTCCAGTAACCAGGTGTTATACTTTAGTCACTTAAATCCATATGGTGATCTTAGGAGAAGTATGCTCTGTACAACAATTAGCTTCAGAGCTCAATACCACACAAGGGCATTAAATATAGACATGTTGATGTTTTGAGATGCATATTCAAAGGTGCTTGTTGTGGTGTTGGTTCACTTTGGTTTGTTGTGAGTTCAGTGCTATAGCTAGTCTCCCCATTTCTGTCTCTTCCTTTTCTCCCTCCCTGTCTGTCTGTGTCGTTACAGCCTTGGATAGGAAGCTGTTGTCTGACTATTTTAAATACATTCCTGCAGAACTCCTCCAGTTTCTGTTTAAGCAATAAGGCCCAAGGGGGTGTGGTATATGGCCAATATACCACAGCTAAGGGCTGTTCTTAAGTACAACGCAACGCGGAGTGCCTGGATATAGCCCTTAGCCATATATTGGCCATATACCACAAACCCCAGAGGTGCCTTATTGATATTATAAACTGGTTAGCAACATAATTATAACAGTAAACAAGTACTTTTACTTCAAACCCTTAGTATATTGTCTGATATACCACGTCTTTCAGCCAATCAGCATTCAGGGTGCTAATTACCCAGTTTATAATTTCACTTATTCACGAGACGTAATCTCAAACAATGGGTTATGTATCACCTTTAACCAATATCACCATTCAGTATGCTGTATCATCATTTTCAGTTACTGATAGCACTAATCATTTTGTTCCCTCTTTGTATTATAATGATGATGGTGTATCATGAGAAACATTTTCCCTAGCAGAGATGTCTGTTCATTGGTTTTTCTGAAGCAAAACACTAGTAGTAATGCTTTTAAGACTATGATTAATCAGACTGCTCCAACACGTGTTAAGACAGAGATAGGAAAAGAGACCCAGGAATATTATATTAATCATGTCTGTTCTATTTGAAGGACTCCTTGTGTGAAGGAATCGACTATGACAGCCAAGAAGAAACAAGTGGCTGTTTCCGCTTCTGAGTGACTAAGAAGTCACCTTCATGTTCAGCTGGTGCCTCAGTCTCTCCCTATGGCCCTGAACATTGAAGCTCTCATCATTCTCTCCTCCATGTCCCTCTGACCGTCCACATCATCATTCCTCTGCATGCCAAACCTCTGGAACAACTGGTGGAATACTGTAAAATAAAAAATAAAACACCTCTTGCATGTATGCCAATAGAAATCGAACATGATCCTAAAAACAACGCCTGTTACTAGTCTTAGGATGTAATGCCTTGTGTGTATCAGAGACCCTCTATGTCTTGTTGAATATAGATGGCAGCATGTTATGGTATCATGTAATCATTTCCCACTACTGTAGCTTAGAACATTCTTGCCAATTATTAGATACATCCTCATTAGCCATCACATATGTTTGATATTGTGCTCATATATGGTCGGTGTGTAACCAGTTACAATAATAAATAAATATATATAATTTTAGATTAGAAGTTAGTCCAGTGCTCTTAAAAATGAAGTTATTGTATGCTGAAGTTGTGTAAATGAATGTATTTTTCTGTCAATTATTTACTCTGTCTTTGGGAACATAAGGGAGAAACAAATAGAAATGTTAACATGGTATAAGAAAAGTACTACGGTCATAGTTATCATAGTGTAGCTTCAAGACCTTTCTTGTGAAATTCTAGCTGAATTGTCCCTTTCATTCTATTAATGGTTGAGCAAATGTTTTAAATGTTTTACACAATAGCTGTTTTTTAAGCAACTCAAAGCTTATTTGAGACCCTTGCCTTTTAAACAATTATCACAGACATGCCACTATTAATAAATGTGTCTTGTTAGCCATTAACACTGAAAACAAAATTGTGCAAATATCCCATATTTTAACAAATGCTCTGAGATACTTGAAGGAAATGTTTGACATGGTCAAGGTGTGACAAAGTAATGTTTTTATGATCACACAATATTTATAGGATGTTGATATTTAGAATACCAAAAGAAGAATGTTTATTAGATGTTGAGATGTCGCGTGTTTGTATAAATGTGTAGCATTTTGCTGTGTTTGGAGTTTGTATTGTGTTGAATGTTTTTCATTAATCACCTGCATAAAGTGAAATGAGGAGCTTTATGGAAATTTGCACTGGAAGCAACTAGGGGTACACAATATCCTTTTAATGAAGATAAAAGTTGCGCTATTACGCACACCCAATTTTTCTAATGACTGTGAACTAGAGGGTCACATTTATTAATGATGTGAGTTATTTCCTGTGCTTTTTGGGGCATGTTGAAAGCCTTACTGAAAACTAATCTGTTCTGTGCATACTAAATATGTGTATAATCATACACATGAAGGTTCCAAAGATATGTCAAGAGGTGTGACTATATATTTGATAGTTTTCCAAGGATAGCTTGCTCTGCTCAAGAATTTACTGTATTCATTACCCGGCTGCAGCATTATCCACGTGAATTTTAACATGCAAAATGTTGCCTGTTGATATGGACTTCATTGCATCAATCAGCTAGTTTAGCATTGTTGAATTGTATTTAAGACGTTTCTCCAGTAATTGTATTAAAGAGTCAATAAAGATATAAAACAGGTGTAATTGATCTCTCCTTTTTGTGTGTGAGTTTTGGGGAAGGAGGAGGTGGCAGGTTTCAAGTTCATTCCCTACTCTTTGTACAGCTCAAGATAACTATTAGGCACTCATGTAATGTCACTTCAATTGCATTATCAGAATTGAAACTATATGAGGCTTTAATATGTCACTGTAATTTGTATTTCACAGACGTATACTTGACAAAATAAACACAATGGCCAGTTTATTAGGTGCACCACCCCATTCACAAAAATGGTTTGCTCCTACAGACAGTGAGTCACGTGGCCGTGGCTTGCTATATAAAGCAGGCAGACGGGCATCGAGGCATACAGTTACTGTTCGATTGAACATTAGAATGGTCAAAATGAGGGACCTAATTTACTTTAAGTGTGGTATGAGTGTCGGTGCCAGGCGTCCCGGTTCCAGTATCTCAGAAACGTCCGGCCTCCTGGGATTGTCACGCACGACAGTGTCTAGGGTTTACCAAGAATGGTGCGACAAACAAAAAACATCCAGTCAGCGGCAGTCCTGTGGGCGAAAGAAAGCTTGTTGATGAGGGAGGTCGATGGAGAATTGCAAGAATCATGCAAGCTAACAACGGGCCACAAACAGGCAAATAACGGCTCAGTACAACAGTGGTGTGCAGAATGGCATCTCGGAATGCACAACTCGTCGGTCCTTGTCACGGATGGGCTATTGCAGCAGATGACCACACCAGGTTCCACTCCTATTAGCTAAAAACAAGAAGTGGCTCCAGTGGGCACGCAATCGAGGAGTAGAAAAACATCGCCTGGTCCGACAAATCCTGGTTCGTGGTGCGTAATGCTGATGGCAGAGTCAGGATTTGGCGTAAACAGCACGCGTCCATGGCCCCATCCTGTCTGGTGTCAATGGTACAGGCTGGTGGCGGTGGTGTAATGGTGTGGGGAAGGTTTTCCTGGAACACATTAGGTCCCTTGATACCAATTGAGCAACGTTTCCATTCCCTGAAGAATTCAGGCTGTTCTGGAGGCAAAGCGGGGTCCGACCTGGTACTAGATGGGTGTACTTAATAAACGGGCCACTGCGTCTATGTCATAGAGTTAACATTTATTTTTAAAAGAGATTGGGTATCATAGCTGGATCCATCCACAATTTCCACAATGGAAATAAGTCTCTGACTTTTTAGTGATATTCCTGTCACGTTTTAGAAATGTTAAACTGTGTGAATGTGGCTGCGTTTTTTTCACTAATTCACTAATCTGATATGTTTTCACTAATTGGTATTTTGATGAATCAGATCAGCTCTGAAAAAGATCTGGTGTGAAAAGATCTGATGTGATTGGTCAAAAGACCAATTAGTGGAACAAATATCAGAATTGGGCTGCCTGTGTGTCGTAGCCTATGTGTTCTCAACGTCAACAAAACGAAAGAGCTGATCGTGGACTTCAGGAGACAGCAGTGGGAGCACGCCCCGACGGGACCGCAGTGGAGAAGGTAAAAAGCTTAAAGTTCCTCGGCGTACACATCACTAACAATCTGAAATGGTCCACCCACACAGACAGTGTGGTGAAGAAGGTGCAACAGCGTCTTTTCAACCTCAGGAGGCTGAAGAAATTTGTCTTGGCCCCTAGACCCTCACAAGCTTCTACAGAACCACCATTGAGAGCATCCTGTCTGGCCGTATCACCGCCTGGTATGGCAACTGCACTGTCCGCAACGGCAGGGCTCTCCAGAGGGTGGTGCGGTCTGCCCAACGCATCCCCGGGGGTACACTGCCTTCCCTCCAGGACACCTACAGCACCCGGTGTCACAGGAAGGCCAAGAAGATCATCAAGGACCTCATCCACCCAAGCCACAGCCTGTTCACCCCGCTAACATCTAGAAGGCGAGGTCAGTATGGGTGCATCAAAGCTGGGACCGAGAGACTGAAAAACAGCTTCTATCTCAAGGCCATGAGACTGTTAAATAGTCACAACTAGCCGGCCTTCGCCCAGTACCCTGCCCTGAACTTTAGTCACTGTCACTAGCCAGCTACCACTCGGTTACTCAACCCTGCACCTTAGAGGCTGCTACCCTATGTACATAGCCATGGAACACTTTAATAATGGAACACTGGTCACTTTAATAATGTTTACATACTGTTTTACCTACTTCATATGTACTGTATATAATGTATTCTAGTCAAGGCCTATCCTATTTAACTATTGCTGTATACTATTCTACCCTACGTATTCTTCAAAAGTTTTAGAACACCTACTCATTCAAGGGTTTTTCTTTATTCTTACTATTTTCTACATTGTAGAATAATAATGAAGACATCAAAACTATGAAATGACACATATGGAATCATGTAGTAACCAAAAAAGTGTTTAACAAATCAAAATGTATTTTATGTTTGAGATTATTCAAATAGCCAACCCTTTGCCTTGATGACAGCTTTGCACACTCTTGGCATTCTCTCAACCAGCTTCACCTGGAATGCTTTTCAAACAGTCATGAAGGAGTTGCCACATATGTTGAGCACTTGTTGGCTGCTTTTCCTCCACTCTGCGGTCCGACTCATCCCAAACCATCTCAATTTGGTTGAGGTCGGGGGATTGTGGAGACCAGGTCATCTGATGCAGCACTCCATCACTCTCCTTCTTGGTAAAATAGCCCTTACACAGCCTGGACGTGTGTTGGGTCATTGTCCTGTTGAAAAACAAATGATAGTCCCACTAATCCCAAACCAGATGGGATGGCGTATCGCTGCAGAATGCTGTGGTAGCCATGCTGGTTACGTGTGCCTTGAATTCTAAATAAATCACAGACAGTGTCACCAGCAAAGCACCCCCACACCATAACACCACCTCCTCCATGCTTTACGGTGGGAAATACACATGCGGAGATTATCCGTTCACCCACACCACGTCTCACAAAGCCACAGGGGTTGGAACCAAAAATCCAGACCAAAGGACACATTTCCACTAGTCTAATGTCCATTGCTCGTGTTTCTTGGCCCAAGCAAGTCACTTCTTCTTATTGGTGTCCTTTAGTAGTGTTTTTTTTTTGCAGCAATTCGACCATGAAGGCCTGATTCACATAGTCTCCTCTGGACAGTTGATGTTGAAGTCTGTGAAGCATTTATTTGGGCTGCAATTTCTGAAGCTGGTAACTCTAATGAACTTATCCTCTGCAGCAGAGGTAACTCTGGGTCTTCCATTCCTGTGGCGGTCCTCATGAGAGCCAGTTTTATCATAGCGCTTGATGGTTTTTACGACTGCACTTTTTCCGTATTGACTGACCTTCATGTCTTAAAGTAATGATGGACTGTCGTTTCTCTTTGCTTATTTGAGCTGTTCTTGCCATAATATGGACTTGGTCTTTTACCAATAGGGCTATCTTCTGTATACCCCCCCCCCCAAATTAACTTTTAAGAAGGCACAACAGTTAATTGAAATGCATTCCAGGTGACTACCTCATGAAGCTGGTTGAGAGAATGCCAAGAGTGTGCAAAGCTGTCATCAAGGCAAAGGGTGGCTATTTGAAGAATCTCAAATAGAAAATAGATTTTGATTTGTTTAACCCTTTTTTGGTTACTACATGATTCCATGTGAATTATTTCATAGTTTTGATGTTTTCACTACTATTCTACAATGTAAAGATAAAGAAAAACCCTTGAATTAGTAGGTGTGTCCAAACTTTTGACTGGTAGTGTATATACATATATACTCGCACTATGACATTGCTCATCCTAATATTTCTATATTTCTTAATTCCATTATTTTACTTTTTAGATTGTGTGTATTGTTAGATATTACTGCACTGTTGGAGCTAGGAACACAAGCATTTCCCTACACCCGCGATAACATCTACTAAAGAGTGTATGTGTATGCAACCAATACAATTTTATTTTATTTTATTTTTAACTGGCAAATAAAATGAATCAATTCCCTCTTCTGGCCAGAAGGAAACAAAGCTTGTGTATACGTCATATGTGTGTGTTGTAAAAACGTTACGAACGACACAGTTTTGACGTTGTACACATTAGAGACTGTCATTTGATATTTATTGTCCGCGGCAGGGGAACGATTTTCATCAGGTAAGCAAATAAATAATGGTCAAATTATTAATTAAACAGGTTCATTACCTAGCATTGATATATATGAAGCTAGTTATATAAAGCGAGGCTGCAATCTCGTTAGTCAGTTAGTGTAAAGTACCATAACAGTTTAGCCAGCTAACGTTAGCCAGCTAGCTAGCTCAGTAGCTGTTTGCTAGCTAACGGAAGCTAGTTGTCAAGGTAGCTAGCTAACTACCACTCAACATTAATTCATCAATGATATTGCTCATTCATAAATATTTGTGTTTGTGTGTAGCAAGACAGTTTGGGTTTACCATTTTCATTGAAGCCAGATAGCCAGCTCGTCTCGTATTGTAGCTAGCAGAAGAAGAAACTGTCCATAACATGCTAGCTAGCTTGCTATCTGGTGATTGTGCTGCTAAAACAGAAATACTATTGGGAGTGGCAGAACAAAGAAATAGTTGCAGTCAGTTGTTTTGCTCGCACTGCTGTGATCAGCAGTTTAGCCACATGTTTAGCTCCACCAAAGTGTCATCAGCATGGTGTGACATGAAACAAATAATATTTTCATTAGAAATGTAAGTAATGTCTAGCTACAAGGTTCCTTGGCCTGAATAAACAAGCATACACTTCACAGGCATGTAGGCGACTTACAACAGAAGATGTTCCCTTGTTGAATGGTGTTTTTTCCACCAACAGTTTAAGGACCCCCAGGATGTTGCGTCTGCGTTGTAAGACCAAAAATGGGAGCCACATAATGCAGGGCCTGACCCACCAGTCCAGTGTGCAGGAGCTGAAGAACAAGGTAGAGGAGCTGACTGGTATCCCCTGTGATGTACAGAAGATCATGGTTGGCTACCCTCCCTTCAGCTTGGACCTCCGAAACGGAGACGCTCACATCAGGGGCTACCCTATCAAATCAGGTAGGCTATGATGTCTCTCTCTTCTCACTTGAATCAATCAAATGTTACATTCACACAGCTGGATAGACTTCACCCTGCTATGTCATGGCTGCATTTTATTCAGAAAATGACATTTGTTACAGGAGACACTCTCATTGTTGAGGAGAAAAACAAGGTAAAGACCCAGACAACAAATTCAGCTGTAACCAAGGGACCCCGCCTGGAGTCTCCCCCGGTGCTGGCCAGACGGGTTGTTCCAGCAGACAACTCCTGCCTGTTCACCAGTGTCTCCTATGTGGTAGAGGGGGGGGTATACGACCCAGCTTGTGCCCCTGAGATGCGAGGTCTCATCACCCAGATTGTGTCCAGCAACCCCATGGCTTACTCTGAGGCGGTGTTGGGAAAGACCAACGAGGAGTACTGCACCTGGATCCGACGTGACGACACCTGGGGCGGAGCCATCGAGGTGTCCATCCTGTCTAAGTTCCACCAGTGTGAGATCTGTGTAGTGGACACGCAGACGGTGCGTGTGGATAGATTTGGTGAGGACGCTGGCTACCACAAACGCGTGCTGCTCATCTACGACGGCATCCACTACGACCCACTGCAAAAGGAGACGCCCGGCTCCGACACTCCGCCCCAGACCATCTTCTCCACCACAGACGACATCATCCTGGCCCAGGCCCTGGAGCTGGCGGACGAGGCGCGAAGGAAGCGGCAGTTCACGGATGTCAACCGCTTTGCCCTGCGCTGCCTGGTGTGTCAGACAGGCCTAGTAGGACAGAAGGAGGCCCGGGAACATGCCAAGGAGACAGGCCATGCCAACTTTGGAGAGGTGTGAGTCAGAGCACTTCCTCACAACCACCACGAACCCGCATGGCCCCACATCTTACAACTCTGTGTGTCTGTACGATCCTCTACCTCACTTGATCCAGCATCAGACACCGTGTTCAGTCTTACCCGTTCAGTGTTACAACTACAGCTGTCAGCTCAGAGACTACTTTATTGCAAGGTTATGAGCTCATAAAAAATATTCTGTACAATTGTTTTGGGGACATTTTTAGTCTCACCCAACACACAGTGGGTAATTGTTCATTGAAGTGTTGTTCAGTTTGTCAACACTAATGGAGCAGAAAACGTTTTTAACAAAACTGGAGATGCCTGGAAATGCCTTACTTTGACAGTTTTCACTTGTGGCATAATAGAATAGACTCTCCAGTACTACCACAGAAATCAGAAATATTTTTCCAGGGCCATTGTGGCATGATACACGTTTGGTTTTACACATCAATGACAATATTTATTAAAGGTTTTTGTTTGTGGATGCCTCACCAGTACTTGAAAAAACAGTGAAAACTGTTGCAAAATATCAAATATAAACCCAGTAACTTGGTAGAAAAGCTGTTCTTTCATTGTTTTGCAGTGGCAATGTCTTTAATATTAGATAATAGCAGAGTTTAGCTAGATACCTTATAGGTCAATACAATACCCTAAATTCTTCAATGGTGCTGTGACAAGCCTATTTTCCTGATGTAGGCTATTACTGAATTATTTATTTTATTTTATGCAGTGTGAGGTGTCTGCATCTTGGTGTGGAACATTAACATTTCATGCAATTATTATTATACCATGGCACTTTGCCATTAAAAGGCCATGGCATTACCCATAGTGGGATTGGTTTTTGTTTATTATTTTTTGTGTAGTTTATATGCCATTATTATTTTCCTGAACAAGACATTTGAATTGTTGTATTTTGGACCTTTTAATCTTGGAATTGATGGATGAATAGACTTTATGATATATAATGTAAATCTAAGGGATGAATCCTTATACATTTGCAGTTCAGGTACTGTCTAAACAATGTGCTTTGCATCTCAACATTCACTTCATGATCGTGTTTTTCGTTTTCATCTCCCATTACCCTCACTCATATTGTTGGACTATTGTGAGGACCACCAAGTGATGCCATAGTTGTAATGTTGATCTATGTATGTTAAATCTAAATGCATGTCAGAGGAAGACTGCGACTCTTTATTATACTTTCACCAATGAAAGCCACCACGGGCTTGCTCTTGCCTGGAAACCCGACGTTGCATTGAATTCTACGTCGGGCAGAAATGAGCGTTTGAATCAGGAACGTTTCTTCTCATGACCTCTACAAGCCAGAATGTTGAATAAAATAATATTTTAATGTACTTTACTGGTTGTCCGTGTGGTTGGTCCTTTTGGCAGTAGGAATGTGAGACTATATTCCACAGGAAATTATAATTACATTAACTTTTCAAAGCGCTGGTAGTGCGTTCAGATTTCTATCACCTGAAGCATGCGCAACAAGATAAAAATGCATGTACAAGACGCATGCATACTTGCCGAGCTTGTGCATGCTTCAGGTGATAGAAATCTGAAAGCACTACAAGTGCTTTGAAAAGTTTGTAATTATACTTTCCTGTGGATATATTGTCTCACATTCATACCGCCAAAAGGGCAAATCGCACCGACAACCGGTGCGAACATTTTGGCTTGTAGAGGTCGTGATAGGAAACTTTCCTGATTCAAACGGTTTCTAGGCAACCCTTGCTCTTGAAATGGAGTGGAGAAGACGTTGAGATAGTTGATCCCTTTAAACATGAATTCTGACTTTTCTTGAAGTGGTTGGTGTTGTTACTGCCAAAAATAATCCTGGCATTGTTTTTGTTGGCAGAGACTAATGTGATGGTGAAAGGCTGGTGATTTGTTATTTTTCCCATCAGACTACTAATGCAGTCTAAAAGCGCTCACACATCTATTCCCATTTTTCTAAACAAAATATTTAATTTAGCTTTTGTCAGCTTGTCATAAACAGATACCAAAGTGTCCCTTTCAGAAAACTCTTGTGACTTGTTATTTATAGAAAATCTTGTCTTACAATTAAATACTCTGGGTCAGGGCCGAGTTTGTGTGGTAGCCTATACTGCCCTACAAAGGCAAAACGCAGTAACTACGAAGTTGGTCAAAAATCTTTGATCTGTTGTAATGGCCAGGTATGTTTTCTGATTAATGTGGTATTTAGTTTCCTGACACAAGAACAAGCCAATTCATCAGAATATATCATGGCGTATCAGAAATTGCTATCTGTCTAGACAGAAAAAGACTGAAGTCAGTTTTTGCAGTAAGAAAAATACGTAGTTACTGCATTTTGCCTTTGTAGGGCAGTATATGTTGCCCTGTTCTTGCTTGGACTTTCCAAAGCCTTTGGCGTGTAAGAGGTATGGGTCTGGGGCATGGTTTTAGTGCAGGGCTCTCCAACCCTGTTCCTGGAGAGCTACCCTCCTGTGTGTTTTCACTCCAAGCCCAGTTATAACTAACCTGATTTCAGTTTATCAACTAGCTAATTATTGAAATCAGATTAGAGTTGGAGTGAAAACCTACAGGACAATAGCTCTCCAGGAACAGGGTTGGAGAGCCCTGTTCTATTGGGTGTTGATGTGACTCAAATATGACTTCTCCCACGTTCCATTACATGGATGTTTAAGGACACGTTCAATGAATGTTGCACACAAGGCACTACAGAGAAACTAGGTTTACTTTATTTTTCACAATAAAAGTCACCATTTAGGAGATTATTTGAGTGAATGTGTTTTTGTATTTGGTTTCAGATTCTAATGTGCTTTAAGCCTGCAAATTGATACCGTATTGTCAACCAATGAAAGATCTCTCTTCGCAATAGTACCGCTGCCATTCACTGTTAACCTTCTGAAATGTAGGCTACTCTGTTCTAACAGTGTATGAGGATCTCTGTTGGGATTAGGCTTTAGTTTAATGTTTTAAAGCATATCTCTCTGATGGGAGAATGTAATGTGGAGCTCTATGACAGTAACCCTAGACACCATCATCAGTAACTGAATACAGTAACGCATAAATCTGTTTTCCTTATGATAAACTACACAATGCAGATGGGATTAATTAGCAGGATGTCAGCAAAAAGTCCTAGCCTAGGCAGCCGCTAGTGGGTGTTAGATAGTGGAGATCTAACGTCCACTAGCGGCTGCCTAGGGTACAAAAATGGCAATGCTATTGCAGTATACTTTTATTTAAATATTGCACAATTTAGGGCTCTATTCAATCTGTAAAATTGAAGCGTTACAGATTCTGCGATAGAAATGTAAAGGTCATTTTAGATTGAGCCGACATGCAGTGTTTACCGTGAATACAGTCTCCGCTAAAGCTGGAACATTGCCTTTAAATTTCATTTACCCTGTAAAGCTGAATTTCTGCAATGCGGATTGAATAGAGCCCTACATCTTGCTCAATTTAGTTAGTAGACTAACTTTATAATTATACTGAACAAAAATATAAATGCAACATGCAACAATTTCAATGATTTTACTGAGTTATAGTTCATATAAGGAAATCAGTCAATTGAAATAAATTCATTAGGCCCTAATCTATGGATTTCACATGACTGGGCAGAGGCGCAGCCATGGGTAGGCCTGGGAGGGCAGAGGCGCAGCCATGGGTGGGCATAGCCCCACCCACTTGGGAGCCAGGCCCAGCCAATTAGAATGAGTTTTTCCCCACAAAAGGGCTTTATTACAGACAGAAATACTCCTCAGTTGTACGGGTGGCTGGTCTCAGACGATCCCGCAGGTGAAGAAGCCGGATGTGGAGGTCCTGGGCTGGTTGTGAGGCCGGTTGGACGTACTGCCAAATTCTCTAAAACGATGTTGGAGGCGCTTTATGGTAGGGAAATGAACATTAAATTATCTTGCAACAGCTCTGGTGGACATTCCTGCAGTCAGCATTCCAATTGCACGCTCCCTCAAAACTTGAGACATCTGTCGCATTGTGTTGTGTGACAAAACTGCAAATTTTAGAGCGGCTTTTTATTGTCCCCAGCACAAGGTACACCTGTGTAATGATCATGCTGTTTAATCAGCTTCTTGATATGCCACACCTGTCAAGTGGATGGATTATCTTGGCAAAGGAGAAATGCTCACTAACAGGGATGTAAACAAATGTGTGCATAACATTTGAGAGAAATAAGCTTTTTGTGCGCATGGAACATTTCTGGGATCTTTTATTTCAGCTCATGAAACATGGGACCAGGGTTCAGTGACCAAAGGCAGCTATAATGAATCCCAATCCTGCGAACAGGATTAAATCAATTGAATCATTGCCAATTTGCTGGATTAGACATGTTACTTTAAAGAACCTTCAACCTCCAATAATAGGATTGTAAACCTTTGCATGACAACAGTGACACACCTCTACACTCAGAGCCATTCTCAAACAGGTATTATGTGAATAAAAGACACTAGTTGTAGGCATTATTGTAAATACTGTAACAAAATTGCTTACTGCTTCCAGGATCAAGGTTAGCAGCCCTAAAACATGTAGTAGACCCAGTGACAGAATAGGAAGTAAGGCACACCACTCGCTGTCCAATGAAATACAACTGGCTTGTTCGACATTGCAGGCGACTGCCTACTGACTGATCTACAAATCAGCTTCCATCATCAATAATTGCTCGTTATTATTTGTAGATCAGTCAGTCATTTACAATTTACCCATAATACATTACGGTTTTGATCCTCTTGAATACGGCCATTGAACTAAGTAGACCAGACTCAGCTGCGTCTATGGGAGACACACCCAGTTAAGTAGACCAGAACTGACCATTGTTTTCAATGGTAAACGGTCTGAGTGAACTATCTTCATTTATCCACCATCTTTGGTAGACCTACAGCTACACTGGCTGCATTTAGACAGGCAGCACAATTCTGATATTTTTTTACACTAATTGGTCTTTTGACCAATCACATCAGATCTTTCTCAGAGTTTATCTGATTGGTCAAAATACCAATTAGTGAAACAATATCAGAATTGGCCTGCCTGTCTAAACGCAGCCATTGATGTGCAGCTTGAACGAAGCCTCAACGTCTAGGTGTACCCTGCTCGGATTGGTTAATAATGTGTGGCACATGGTCTATTATCACCTGTAGTAGCAAGGTTCTGAACAGAAACGCCGACGGTACAGGCAACAGGTCAGACAGACAAGACCTGCGCGATTAACGGAATGCGGTGTTACTATCACACATTCTGTGAAATTACAGGTAAGCGAAATTATAATATAATAGAGAATACATTACTTGTATATTTCATTTGATATTAAACTGAATGATTCTTGAAATTAAAACAAATGTATAGCCTTCATATTTTGCTGTAAACTATTTGCATGGCTACTGTATTTTTCCTAGATTGAATGGCTACTGTTAATAAGACACAATACCAGCATTTACTCATATGAGCCATATCTTCAATACAATTGCCTTTGTTAAAACGTAGCTGAAATAGTCCTATGGGAGTGGCAAGATCAGAAAAATACTTTGACTCTGGTGTTGAATATCAGCTAGCAAATCTTAACCTGCCTTATGACAATGAAGTGTTATTGCCCATGTTATTTTATTTCCCCAGCACATGTGTGTGTCTGAAAATTCCTGCAACCATTTTTACAGTACAGTTTGTCCTAAATGGATGGGGAATGACACATTTGTTTTTCATTTCGTGTCAGGTGACTCACCATCAAAGTCACATATTGGTTGGATTCAATATGGCCAAACGGCTTCAGAGAGCTGAGCCAATTGAGTAAGCCCTTTGAACAGTGGAGTTGAATATTGTTCTGGCTAATAAGTATATGTAGTTCTGTCAGAAGTGGCGAGCTGAAGTAATGATTAACTAGATGGTCTGTGGTCTGTCATTCTGAGGAAATGTCAGCAGGTTTTTACTCCACCTGCATAATAGCTATTAAAGCTCTGTACACACTGTACAACAACTGATTATACTGTGTGGTGATAACCTGCATGTATTTATTTTCTCTTCTTGTGAAACCTCAAGCAATATTTTCCAAGACTTTGCTTTCAGCCATAGAGCAGGCTGATCACACACATTGACATGATAGGGGCATGAGGGTTAAAGTATTTTGTGTCTCTTGGTTAAACATCTGTGAAATACATATTACAAAACAAAATGGAGGTTATTCATTTAATATAGCGAGAGCTTGGGACTATAAGGTTCTACCTGCAAAATGTTTATTCTGAGATAATTGACTTTAAAGTGGTGGCAGATAGCCTAGAGGTTAGAGCGTTGGGGTTCAAATACCCGAGTTGACAAGGTAAAAAATCTATCGATGTGCCCTTGAGCAAGGCACTTAACCCTAATTTGCTCCAGGGGTGCCGTACTACTATGGCTGACCCTGTAAAACAACACATTTCAGTGGACCTATTCGGTGTATGTGACAATAATATTTTTTCTGGCAAAGTAGCCTAGCAGTTAAGAGCATTGGGCCAGTAACCAAAAGGTTGCTGGTTCGAATCCACTAGCTGAGTAGGTGAAAAAAGTATGTCTGTGCCCTTGAGCAAGGCACTTAACCCTAATTGCTCCTGTATGTCACTCTGGATAAGAGCGTCTACTAAATGGTTCTACAGCTACACCATCGAGAGCATCCTGACTGGTTGCATCACCGCCTGGTATGGCAACTGCTCGGCCTCCGACCGCAAGGCACTACAGAGGGTAGTGCGAACGGCCCAGTACATCACTGGGACCAAGCTTCCTGCCATCCAGGACCTCTATACCAGGCGGTGTCAGAGGAAGGCCCTAGAAATTATCAAAGACTCCAGCCACCCTAGTCATAGGCTGTTCTCTCTGCTACCGCACGGCAAGCGGTACCGGAGCGCCAAGTCTAGGTCCAAAATGCTTCTTAACAGCTTCTACCCCCAAGCCATAAGACTCCTGAACAGCTAATCATGGCTACCTGGACTATTTGCATTGCCCCCCCACCCCACCCCATCCCCCTCTTTTACGCTGCTGCTACTCTGTTTATTATTTATGCATAGTCACTTTAACTCTACCCACATGTACATATTACCTTGACTAACCGGTGCCCCCGCACATTGACTCTGTACCGGTACCCCCTGTATATAGCCTCCCTACTGTTATCTTAATTTACTGCTGCTCTTGAATTATTTGCTATTTTTTACTTATCTATCTTTTTTAAATTGTTTTAACTGGGTTGTTGGTTAAAGACTTGTAAGTAAGCATTTCACTGTAATGTCTACACCTGTTGTATTTGGCACATGTGGCAAATAACATTTGATTTGAAATGACTAAAATGTAAAAAGTTCTGTATCCTCATTGGTTTGAAATTGTTATATTGTATTATTTAGAATTTAACATGAATTGGGGGTATTTAGAGTATTATATACACTACCAGTCAACAGTTTGGACACCTACTCATTCCAGTTTTATTTTTTTATTTTTTATGATTTCATATGTTATTTCATGTCTTTTGTGTTTTGATGTCTTCACTATTATTCTACAATGTAGAAAATAGTAAAAATAGAGAGAAACCCTGGAATGAGTAGGTGTGTCCAAACTTTTGACTGGTACTGTAGGTAGAAAACGTTTTAAATTAGGGACAAAAATGCAGATAGAACCTTAAGTCCCAAGCTCTCGATATTGTGCATATCTCACATCTAGTGAAACGTACATTGGAATATGCTATACAGTAGAAGACTGATAACCACAGATAAGGTATTTTATTACTTTTCTATCTGATATCGACTGTATTGTTAATCCCCTTTGGCACACTTTTTTCTTTTGAACCAGAATAGATGAGGTCGTGTACTATCCATTGTCTGAATGAGCTGCTACTGCCCTGCTATTTGCATGAGATCAGTCCAGATTGTGCCAGGTTGAAAGACAACAAACATTATCACAAACTTCACATTCAAATTCAGAGCTCAAGAGCTGAAGATTGCAGGTTGGATGTAGACTTTACATAAATGCCTGTGGATAGGGGATTTAATTTCCACAGGGAAATGGCCTGGTCAGGATGGAGCACTGTAACATGACAAAGCTTCAGCAGTGAACAGAACAGGACTGCTATTGTGTCTCTACTGACCTACTTAGTAGCCCCACTCAGGTGTTGAAACCAGAGTAGAGAAGCATTTCTTCTAAATCAGGTAGTACTTTATTATGGTCTCAGTCACAACACCACAAGAGCTACTTCAATATAATTTGAGGTTTTTTATCTCACGTTTGTTAGTTGTGCATTCACACATAATATGGAAAAATGTGTGAAGGGGGATGTTCAACAATAGATCCTTCATTACCTACATTCTACATTTTTCAAAGGCACCATTTAACATACAGGCGAGGCTTCTCTATCTATACCAACAGGTATATGGTTAAGTAGGATGCAGCGTTAAGGAGGGATATCATTTGTATTGTCTTTCATTCTCGCTGAACTTGATCCTGCTGAAGAAGATTAGAGTAGCGTGCTGTAATCTGAGTCACGTGTGGCCAGGAGAGTAGTTAGCTAAGATATCTCACAGAAAAAGACTTAGCCATTATATTTAAGTCATTTAGCAGATGCTCTTATCCAGAGCGACTTACAAATTGGTGCATTCAACTTAGGATAGCCAGTGGGACAACCACATCTTGATCACAGTAAGTACACTTCTTCAAACAAGCAGCTGTGAGCAAAGTCAGTGCAATCAGGGACAACTAACTACATCTCGATCACAATAAGTACATTTCTTTAAACAAGTCAGTGCTAGCAGGTGAAATAAGTCAGGTGTTAGTTTAGACAAAAGACAGTGGTAGTAAAGGGGGGGGGGGGGTACCCTGTTATTCTCCACTAGCTCTGCTACCCATTCATCAGGTCAGTGTGTATCACTCAGAGGTTATAAAAGGAGATCTGACTGTGATCTAAAAAGGTTTAGAAAAGTGTGTGTATGAGCGAGAGAGTTTGATAGGAAGAAAATAGATTTTGTGAAATGGATTATATTTGATTAGTTTTATTTGTGGACAATTGGATAAAAAGTAGTAATGAGTGGTATATTCAAAATTCCCAAGTTTAGTTAATGATTTTATTCATGCATCAAGTTGTTTTGTATTTATTTTTGACAGGGAAAGAAAGGTTCTCTAACTTCTATTACTACCTTGGACTCTCTGGACTTTCAAACCTTCATCTTTACAATGCCAAAGAGTGACACATGGCCCGGTGGCATCGCCATAGAGACGATCACTGGCATGGACAGTGCAGGCAGCTGTGACAGTGTTGCCAGTATAAACTCTGGATTTGTAAGTACATTTGGTCATCCTCACATTTCTTAAGTTGTATTCCTGAACCCGCATAGCTATCCTAACAAGAAATACATTTTGTGACAAATGACTGCATCTCACATAGAATGAACAGCTCAGAATTAACTGAATTGACAATAGCTTTAGGGAGTTGTGGGGGATAGTTTGACATTTTGGCATGAAGCCCCTTTTTCTACTCACTGTGTCAGATGAACTCATGGATACCATTTGTATGTCTTTTAAATTGGTGTGACTTGCAGAGTGACGATAGCCTCGAGCACCTGTCTGCTGAGGAGAGGGCATGTCTCATGTTCTTGGAGGAGACCATAGAGTCCCTAGAGACTGAGGAGGACAGTGGACTGTCCAATGATGATCCTGACTGCCTGCCCACCCCCAGCAACGTGGCCACCAAGATGGCCCACCTCTCTGCCTCCATTGGCCAAAACAAGCTCAACAGTGAGTGACCTGCCCAGTAGGGAAATAGATCCTCTTGAATATCAACATACCGTACTTCAGTGGTGTGTATTCATGGATGCCAAGGGAAGCCAGGCTTCCCCAAAACATTGACCAAGAAAAAAAGAAAAAAACATACATTATTTGTATTTTATCTCTCTGTGTTTGATAATTTTCCTTCAATTCGCAAGAGGCTGAATGTATACTATATATACAAAAGTATGTGGACACCCCTTCAAATGAGTGGATTCGGCTATTTCAGCCACACCTGTTGCTGACAGGTGTATAAAGTTGAGCGCACCCCATGCAATATCCATAGACAAACATTGGCAGTAGAATGGCTTTGCTGAAGAGCTCAGTGATTTTCAACGTGGCACCGTCATAGGATACCACCTTTCCAACAAGTCAGTTCGTCAAATATCTGCCCTGCTAGAGCTGCCCCGGTCAACTGTAAGTGCTGTTATTGTGAAGTGGAAATTGTCTGTCCTCAGTTGCAACATTCACTACCGAGTTCCAAACTGCCTCTGGAAGCAATGTCAGCACAAGAACTGTTCGTCGGGAGCTTCATGAAATGGGTTTCCATGGCAGAGCAGCCGCACACAAGCCTAAGATCACCATGTGCAATGCCAAGCGTCGGCTAGTGGCGTAAAGCTCGCCGCCATTAGACTCTGGAGCAGTAGAAACGCGTTTTCTGGAGTGATGAATCACGCTTAACCATCTGGCAGTCCGACGGACGTATCTGGCTTTGGCGGATGCCAGGAGAACGCTACCTGCCCCAATGCATAGGGCCAACTGAAAAGTTTGGAGGAGGAATACTGGTCTGGGGCTGTTTTTCATGATTTGGGCTAGGCCCCTTAGTTCAAGTGAAGGGAAATATTAACGCTACAGCATACAATGACATTCTAGATGATTCTGTGCTTCCAACTTTGTGGCAACAGTTTGGGGAAGGTCCTTTCCTGTTTCAGCATGACAATGCCCCTGTGCACAAAGCGAGGTCCATACAGAAATGGTTTGTCGAGATCGGTGTGGAAGACCTTGACTGGCCTGCACAGAGCCCTGACCTCAACCCCATTGAACACCTTTGGGATGAATTGGACCGCAGACTGCGAGCAAGGCCTAATCGCCGAACATCAGTGCCCGTCCTCACTAATGCTCTTGTAGCTGAATGAAAGCAAGTCCCAGCAGCAATGTTTCAACATCTAGTGGAAAGCCTTCCCAGAATAGTGGAGGCTGTTATAGCAGCAAAGGGGGGACCAACTCCATATTAATGCCCATGATTTTGTAATGAGTAGTTCGACGAACAGGTGTCCACATACTTTTGGTCATGTAGTGTATCACGGTCGCAAGGCATATGAACTAACAGGTTATAGAGCAAACAACGCAATTATCACAATATGCCTTTTTTTTCCTGGCTTCCCTAGTGATTTTACCCACACACCGCTACTGCAGTACATTCATCCATTTCAGCAGGGGGAAAAAAACATCTAATGAGAATTTTGTTTTGTCTTTTAGATGTATCAAAATATCCCAGTGATGAGCACGGTTACCTGGTTCCTACTCCGTTCATCCTGTCCAAGGCCAGGCCAGGCATACCCCCAAATAAGGAGAACTCTCACCCAAAGCCCCAGGTCACTGCCTTGGACAACAGGCCATCTCAGGGCCACCACCCTTGTGTACCCCCTGAGGTCAATGTTGTGGTGATTCCCCCTCCATCAAAGCCCAAAGACTACCCTGGTCAGAGACCACCCCATTCACCCAGGGGCCCTCTGTCCTATGAGGCCCTAGTGCAGCTGAGGAAGAGTGCCGCCATGAAGAGAACCCCTCAATGTGCCACAGCTGAGACCAGAGACTGGAACAAGCAGCCCTCTTCATCAGCCGTTCCCATTCACCTGCACCATGGGAGCACACCCAGAGACCCCTCAGTCAGCCCAGCCCAGGGCACACTCCCCCAGGAGCCCAGCAAGCACAAGGACAGTCCTCCAGTCGTGTTCCCAAAACCCCCCAAAATACCCTCCCACATTGCCCTGAATACCCGAAAGGGTACAGCCAACCCCACCACAGACTGCAGTGCCCCTTCCTTGAGCTCATCACCCACAGACAGGCATTTGTCAGACCCCCAGAAGGTGAGAAAGGAGGCCTTGCAGAAGCTGGGGCTCCTGAGAGACATTAATGAGTCCCAACCTAAGTCTGTTACGCCACTGTGCTCCTCCAAATCGCACTCCACCTGGGACCTAACTTCAGCCAGTGTGGGAGTTAAAGCTCCACCCCACGGTAACTCAACAAGAAGCCAGCCCTCAACCTCCTCCCAAGGGCCCAGAGAACCTAACAGCAGGCCAGTACAAAGCAGCAGCTTCCTCCATCGCTCTAGGAGTGAGGAGCAGCCCCCCATACCGCTCTCACACCTGGCCCAACCTAGTGGGGTCAAAGCTGCCACCCTAGAGCGCTCTGGGGTGGGGCTTGGGAGCTACGTGGACGACCACAGGAAACCTCCCCAGGATGGACGTTGCACTCCACCTGCTCCCATCAAAGCCCCAGAGCAGGTGAAAACAACCCTTGCTGCCCAGCCAGTGTCCCCCCACAAGACTCCGCACTGCCCGGGCTTCAGTGTGGTGATGGTACCAAGCATGGGAGAAGACAGACGAGAGGCTCTTAGGAAGCTGGGGCTGCTGAAAGACTAGGCCCGGAGAGAAGGTAGCCGTATCGCAGCATAAAGAGGGGATTGAATTTGATTTCGGTAAATATATTTAGCACTGGTTTATCAGGAAAATACTTTCTTCCTTTTCTGCCTGTAAAACCTGTTAATGCAGTTTTTAATTTTCATGTCAGTTGTTTAATAACATGATATTTGTAAATTGTTTTAAGGGTTTTGCTGTCACAGAATCAGTCACTGCACACTTATACAGCTGATCAGAGGAATGAATGCAACAGGCTTATTCATCATATTTTTGGTATAATTGCTGTGTAACAGACTGTGTTCATGGTATGCTTGAGATGAGAACAGGTATTTGACCATACACTAAAAAGTATTTTTGTGTCAGATTGTGACCATTTCCTTATTTCCCCCCCCCCCCCAGACTGAGCTTCCTGTTGTTAAATTACAGCCATGTTTTCCCTCCAACCCCATCAGAGTATAGTTTTTGTACAAAAAGACAAAGAATTCTTTATATTCCTGAGACCCAACTATTCATTTTTGTCTTCTCTAATGGACATTTGTTTTTGGTCCGTATCTCTAAAGGCCATAGATGCCACGGTGTTAGGTCCTGTTGTACCTTTGAGAGGACATTCTGGGCTCTTCAATGATATCACGTGTGGGGGGTGTGACTAGATTTTTTATTTCCTGGTTCTTCAAATGGCTACCATCACAATTAGCACATTTTATAGTAAGTGTGTGTAATTAGCGTTTTTGTGAGTTTGCTATTCAAATTGTTTCTAATGGGTACATATAATTTGTTCACATTAAATAAGAGCTTGTTAATAAATGTCCTCTGTTGTGGACATCAGGATGTGCTGTTTTTCATGTAATGTCCCCATTTACTGTAATGTAAAATTTTTCATATTTGCTATAAACAGAGTCCTCGAAAAAAAACATTTTCCCCCAACAAATACATGAACCTTTCTCCCCCTCAGTGCACCCACCTCGCTTACAGACTATCAGTCATACTACTCATCTTACACATGCCACTCTCGCAATGAGAAAGCCTACTAAGCTGTCTGTGTGTTATCGGATTATCTTGGGCTGCACCTCTATGAACCTGTCCTACTGAACAGACCGACCAGTACGTTCTTTTCTGTGCTGGTCATTCTTGATGTCCAAAGAGCTCTTTCCTTTCATTTAACAGTATAAGAGAAAGGTCAGTCTCTTATATAATAGTGTTGAAACCCTCCATCTAGTAATTGTCACATCATCAGTGTCTCTATCATACGACTGCAGTGTTATCTCTCAGTGAGGTATTATTGTAGGGGAGCCGTATCCACGTCTGAGTGGAGTACTTTGCATACAATGGTGTCACATCTCGCAACTGAAATAACTGCGGTCGGTCAAGTCATATTGAACAATGGATTTGAAAAAATCTGTCCATTGCCTAAGTGGGAAACACGATACAGAGAAAGAAGAGATGGTTTGATTAATCGATATTCAGATGAAAGGGACACCGGAGTGATTTTCCATTGTGATGGCAATTTATGTGGTTAGGGACATTAACTTAAATGTCACATTCATAATTGTCAGAGCTATTGTAATTTGTAATTTTCTGGAATGCTAAACACATTTTACTGCCGAGCAAGCCTGGCTCAGATTGCTTGTAAAAACCAATTCAGGTCGGCTGTGTCACTCAGCTCCCTGGAGGTCACAAGGTCGCTCCACACTTGTCTTGTTTGCAGACAACAGGGAGGTTTGTCTTTGACACATCTTTTCAGAGGGCAGGAAACCTGAGGCTAACCTTCACGGTCACATGTGGCCTGTTAACACTCTGCTGCTATGACAACACCACCCTGGCCCCAGTGCACTCGTGGAGTCATCCATCTGATGTGACACTGAAACTGGTCTAACATGTTTGACTCTCAGATCTAATTTATTCCCTGATGCTGATAGACTGAAGATGACCTTCCTGTTACTGATGTTCACAGCTAAATATTTTGCACAACCAGACTCATTCTGGGAAGTGAATGAGTACTAGACATGAAATTAACAAGATGTACAGAAAAAATATTGTATTAACAGTTAGTACATGTACATGAGCAGCAAAAACCACAACAGTGATAAATAGTACATTCAGGTTTGGATAAACCATCATATCACAGCATTAAGAGTCAGTGCAAGCACTATGGTGTGTGGCATTAGGTAGTAGCATAATGTTTGCTACATTTTAAAAAGGTGCTAAAAAACAAACACACCAGGAACATCACATTGCCAGACCAAGTGTCCATGTAAAAGTGCCATTATATTGCTGGTTAGCAAAAGTTCAATAGTGCACCACCACCACGGGGTCAATCACAGTGGATGAATGAAATACTCTACCTAAACAAGTCAACAAATAGCGAGGTCTCTAGGAGTCAAAAAGGGTGGCAGGTAAACATTGAGCGGTCACAGAAGAGTGCCCCTCTAGCCCAGCGCTCTCAGTTCCCCTCATAGGGGATGTGTGTTTTGCTTTTCTTCCTCTTCACCTTGCCATTGGATGGGGTGATCCCCAGTGACTCGAGGCGGAAGGGGCGAGGGAGGAGGGATTCAGTGCTGAGTGAGGGGCCGATGTTGGAACCGCTGGAGGTCAGGTGAGGCGTCCCGTTCCCCTGGGGTGCTGAGTGAACTGCTGCAGGGGAAGAGGTAATCAGTGGGACAACAGCAAATATAGGGCAAAGGATCTGTTGAAGCTAAGTGGATAGCAGGCTAGATCTTTTTAAATGTTTCCAGTAACTGACTTCGACCCATAAAACCATTTTGTACTAGCAAGCAGTACGTTGGTATTATATGTGGTGCTATAATTGTCAATTTTTCTTTGAATTGTATTATTTTCTTATCAGTTCAGGCACTTCCCCCTTCGTCCTGCACACTCTATTAAATATCAATTCATAGTTTGACTGTTTTTATGTTAACATTAAGTACACTTCAGTCACAGTTGTGCTTCTACATCTGCATTGCTTGCTGTTTGGGGTTTTAGGCTGGGTTTCTGTATAAGCACTTTATAAAAAGGGCTTTATAAATACATTTGATTTGAGTTGTGACTCCAGTCACAGTTGAATTCAGATAAGAGTGCCCTCTACAGTTTCCAGTAAGAAAAAAGCCCTATCCATATATAATATTTACAGTAAGAGCAGTGAAAATGCACTGGGCTGTGAGAGGCTAACAGTTTGTGTAAATACAGTATTTCTTTAGTGAGCAGATCTGATCTCCCTCCTGTAGCCTGGGCTGTTGGGTCAGGGGAAGGGCCTGTAGCTCCAGGTCTTACCCAGTCCCTTCAGGGGCTCACCGCCCAGCAGTTGGTTGGCTCTCTTAGGCTTGAAGTAGTTGCTGGCGAAGTTCTCGCTGTCGCTGCGGTTCAACATCTCCTTATATCGATCCTCGTCGTTCTGCACAAAACATAGGCAACGATGGAGGACCATAGACATTTTCTGTTTTACTTCTCATATCCCATCAGGAAAGTTTTTAAAAAGGTGAGTACACACCTGAAAGGATTCTCCTGTGTCAGCCGCTGAGCTTCTGCGTATAGAGAGCCTCTGAGCTGAAGGAGCTACTGCTGAAAGAGAGAAGGGACAGAGGATGAGAAACCTAAACAGGAACAACTATCCACGCAATCTCAACATATAAAATCTACACAAAAAGTCCATCCACTAAAACATTTTAACATTAGTCTTATCTTCAAAACATAATTTCTCCCTGTCCTACACTCACCTAATGGCAGGGCTGTTTTCTGCACCACCACCTCAGGCAGCCTCCAGGTTGCGCCGTCTTCATCCCAGGTGGCCTCCTTCCGCAGGCGGTCCAGGTTGCTGTAGTTGCAGTCACGGCGGACCAGAGGGGCCATGCGCTCCAGCAGGCTCTGCAGCAACTGGCCCTCCCTCTCCAGCCTGCGGATGGTGGCCAGGTAGTCGTTCCTCTCTAGCTCAAACTCTGCCTGCAGGTCCCGGATCTCCAGCTTGGCCGCCTTCAGCTGTGAAATCACATCAGGAGAACACCACTTAAAACTTGACCATACAGACTTAGGTTTACTCTTAAATCGTATATCTATATCACAGTTCATAAGGTATTCTTAACAGAATCAGCAATCAGAATCAACAATAAAAATGTGTGTAAGAAATCTAGTACAGGAACAAGCATGCTAGTAGATAAATCATTAATCTAGCATTTATTTTCCATGAAGATGTCCCACCTTGGCCTGGGTGTTCTCTAGGAGCCGACTCTTAGCACGGACCTCCTCCTGGATGGAGTCGTAGACATTGAGCATCACATTGTCACTCTCCTCACGGTTCTCTGCCAGGGCCTCAATCAGCTGCTTCTTCCTCTGGTCTGCCAGGGTCTTCCTCTGTCGGTGTCTCTGCTGCAACTCCTTGTTCCGAGCCTGCTCCCCTCCCACCACTTCCTGCTCCAACTGCTGCAGCCTGGGGACAGGACAGGGCACCAAGCCACACTATCACACCACTGGACATGATGTTACACAAAGGGTATATTGTGGGTGTGTGTGGTCACACCTCTCGAGGACATGCTTTTGGTCCAGAGGGCCTGGGGTGCCAATGGGAGGGGAGTCTGTATTCTCCTCCCGCTCAGACCCTGTCTGGACACTGGTCACCTGGCGAGATGCCTGTGTCTGGCTCACCTACAAGAAGAGAAGTTACACACATCATTAAAGGGACCGCTCCACTCTGATGTGTTTTACTACAAAATGCATGCATAACCTGTTATCGACAAGTACTGGGAACTTGAGGCATGTGTACCATGGCCAGGGCTGGTTCCAAATCAGTAAGCTCATGTGGGGCAGCAGTGACACAGCAGGATTCCTCCTCAAGAACTTGTTTCATAAGGATGGAGATCTCTGACTCTAGGCAATGAGAAAACAAGGCATAGTATCATGTAAAGTACTAGAGCACCATCTATACACTTGAGTGCTAAAAGGTATTCATCTTAGTAAAATATATTATTAAAATCCTTGGATATGGTTGTCTAACTGTGTGCTAATGAATTGGTTGGTTATTCTAATGTAGACAGGGATGTTGTAATGGTACCAGCAGTGGTAATAGAGTGCCCTCTGCTGGCCCTAGACTTCTCCAGACTGGACAGCTTGGTCTCATATGAAGAGCGCAGAACAGCTATGTCCTCCTGTAGCTTGGCCTTGGACTCCTGCTCAGCGTTATACTCAGCCTGAAGCCTGGCCAGCTTCTCCTCGTACTCCTGAAGGTCACAAATAGGTCAATACATCTACTCCTCCCGCTCAACAGCCTCTCAGTTAACTAACCTTGTGGAAGAGTATCCTACCCACCTCTTTAATCTTCTCCTTCTCCTCCTCAGTACTGCTGGACTGTGGCCTTGATGGACCAGCAGAGGGCCCTGCAGACAACTGACCAGCCAGAAGCACTGATAAAATGGTACAATTGAGAGGAATCCAATTTTAGACAAGACATAATAACCTAGCAGTTTGATGTTCTATGTGAAAACTCTTACACTCAATGGTAAGACAAAGTGTGGAGAAAAACATGGTTCTCACATGACAGGTTGCCCTTGCCCAGCTGGCCAGAGATGAGGGCGCGTAGTTGCTTGATTTCCTCCTGATACTCTCGGAGCAGGGCATCCTTGGGGTCTTCGTTGATGCAGGGCCTGTTCTGGATGCTCTTGGCCCTGTTGGCGTAGCGCAGGGTGCTCAGGCTTTCCTCATAGTTGTTGTCTGCAGGCGAGAGGCAGGCCACCATCAGGGTGCGAGTGTTTCCACCCAGGGAGTCCTGCAGCAGCCGGGTCAGCTTGGAGTCTCGGTAGGGGATGTGTTTGGAGCGGCCATCCACCAGGGCAGAGATTACGTTGCCCAGAGCCGACAGGGACAGGTTGATCTTGGTGGCCTCACGGAGCCGCTCCCCGGTGGCACCAGTCTTCGACTGCCGCTCACTGCCTGCCAGGTCCACCAGGTTCAGTTTTCCCGCACGCAGGTGGTCCTCGCCAGCTGAATCTGAGACCACAGGACACAGACAGTGAATGTTTTGCCTCAAAGCCAAGGGCTCACACAGACAAGAACACGCATTATGGTTGAGTTAGCTGTCATAATCTGCCATACTAGTTCCTCTCCCTTCTTTGGGACCCTGATCTAGATATACTGTGTACACACACACACACACACACACACACACACACACACACACACACACACACACACAGTTGAAGTCGGAAGTTTACATACACTTAGGTTGGAGTCATTAAAACTTTTCAACCACTCCACAAATTTCTTGTTAACAAACTATCGTTTTGGCAAGTCGGTTAGGACATCTACTTTTCGCATGACAAGTAATTTTTCCAACAATTGTTTACAGACAGATTATTTCACTTATAATTCACTGTATCACAATTCCAGTGGGTCAGAAGTTTATATACACTAAGTTGACTGTGCCTTTAAACAGCTTGGAAAATTCCAGAAAATTATGTCATGGCTTTAGAAGCTTCTGATAGGCTAATTGACATAATTTGAGTCAATTGGAGGTGTACCTGTGGATGTATTTCAAGGCCTACCTTCAAACTCAGTGCCTCTTTGCTTGACATCATGGGAAAATCAAAAGAAATCAGTCAAGACCACAGAAAAACAATTGTAGACCTCCACAATTCTGGTTCATCCTTGGGAGCAATTTCCAAATGCCTGAAGGTACCACGTTCATCTGTATACATATTGTAAAGTGGTTATCCCACTGGCTATAGGGTGAATGCACCAATTTGTAAGTCGCTCTGGATAAGAGCGTCTGCTAAATGACGTAAATGTAAATGTAAATGTAGCCTTCCACAAAATTCCCACAATAAGTTCGGTGAATTTTGGCCCATTCCTCCTGACAGAGCTGGTGTAACTGAGTCAAGCTTTAACTTCCTGACTGATGTCTTGAGATGTTGCTTCAATATATCCACATAATTTTCCTTCCTCATGATGCCATCTATTTTGTGAAGTGCACCAGTCCCTCCTGCAGCAAAGCACCCCCACAGCATGATGCTGCCACCCCCGTGCTTCACGGTTGGGATGGTGTTCTTCGGCTTGCAAGCAACCCCCTTTTACCTCCAAACATAACAATGGTCATTATGGCCAAACAGTTCCATTTTTGTTTCATCAGACCAGAAGACATTTCTCCAAAAAGTATGATCTTTGTCCCCATGTGCAGTTGCAAACCGGCGTCTGGCTTTTTTATGGCGGTTTTGGGTGCAGTGGCTTCTTCCTTGCTGAGCGGCCTTTCAGGTTATGTCGATATAGGACTCGTTTACTGTGGATATAGATACTTTTGTACCTGTTTCCTCCAGCATCTTCACACTTTCCGCACCAAAGTACGTTCATCTCTAGGAAACAAAACGCGTCTCCTTCCTGAGCGGTATGACGGCTGCGTGGTCCGATGGTGTTTATACTTGCGTACTATTATTTGTACAGATGAACGCGGTACCTTCAGGCGTTTGGAAATTGCTCCCAAGGATGAACCAGACTTGTGGAGGTCTAAAATTGTTTTTCTGAGGTCTTGGCTGATTTCTTTTGATTTTCCCATGATGTCAAGCAAAGAGGCACTGAGTTTGAAGGTAGGCCTTGAAATACATCCACAGGTACACCTCCAATTTACTCAAATTATGTCAATTAGCCTATCAGAATCTTCTAAAGCCATGACATCATTTTCCTGAATTTTCCAAGCTGTTTAAATGCACAGTCAACTTAGTGTATGTAAACGTCTGACCTACTGGAATTGTGATACAGTGAATTATAAGTGAAATAATCTGTCTGTAAACAATTGTTGGAAAAATTACTTGTGTCATGCACAAAGTAGATGTCCTAACCGACTTGCCAAAACTATAGTTTGTTAACAAGAAATGTGTGGAATTGTTGAAAAACTAGTTTTAATCACTCCAACCTAAGTCTATGTAAACTTCCGACTTCAACTGTGTGTGCAATATATATATATATATATATATATATATATATATATATATATATATATACATAATACATACATACATACATACATACATACATACATACATACATACATACATACACACACACACACACACACACACACACACACACACACACACACACACACATACATACAGTACCAGCCAAAAGTTTGGAAACACCTACTCATTCAATGGTTTTTCTTTATTTTTACATTGTAGAATAGTAGTGAAATTATCAAAACTATGGAATCACGTAGTAACCAATAAAGTGTTAAACAAATCAAAATATATTTTCTATTTGAGATTCTTCAAATAGCCACCCTTTGCCTTGATGACAGCTTTGCACACTCTTGGCATTCTCTCAAGCAGCTTCACCTGGAATGCTTTTCCAACAGTCTTGAAGGAATTCCCACATACACTGGATTGCAAAAGTTTTCACCCCCCTGGCATTTTTCCTATTTTGTTGCCTTACAACCTGGAATAACAATTTATTTTTGGGGGGTTTGTATCATTTGATTTACACAACATGCCTACCACTTTGACGATGCAAAATATTTTTTCTTGTGAAACAAACAAGAAATAAGACCAAAAAAAAACAGAAAACTTGAGCGTGATTAACTATTCACCCCCCCCCCAAAGTCAATATTTTGTAGAGCCACCTTTTGCAGCAATTACAGCTGCAAGTCTCTTGGGGTATGTCTCTATAAGCTTGGCACATCTAGCCGCAGTGATTTTTAACCATTCTTCAAGGCAAAACTGCTCCAGCTTCTTCAAGTTGGATGGGTTCCGCTGGTGTACAGCAATCTTTAAGTCATACCACAGATTCTCAATTGGATTGAGGTCTGGGCTTTGACTAGGCTTTCCAAGACATTTAAATGTTTCCCCTTAAACCACTCGAGTGTTGCTTTAGCAGTATGCTTAGGGTCATTGTCCTGCTGGAAGGTGAACCTCCGTCCCAGTCTCAAATCTCTGGAAGACAAACAGGTTTCCCTCAAGAATTTCCCTGTATTTAGCGCCATCATTCCATCAATTCTGACCAGTTTATCAGTCCCTGCTGATGAAAAACATCCCCACAGCATGATGCTGCCACCACCATGCTTCACTGTTGGGATGGTGTTCTCGGGGTGATGAGACGTGTTGGATTTGCGCCAGACATAGCGTTTTCCTTGATGGCCAAAAAGCTCAATTTTAGTCTCATCTGACCAGAGCACCTTCTTCCATATGTTTGGGGAGTCTCTCACATGCCTTTTGGTGAACACCAAACGTGTTTGCTTATTTTTTTTCTTTAAGCAATGTTTTTTTTCTGGCCACTCTTCTGTAAAGCCCAGCTCTGTGGAGTGTACGGCTTAAAGTGGTCCTATGGACAGATACTCCAATCTCCGCTGTGGAGCTTTGCAGCTCCTTCAGGGTTATCTTTGATCTCTTTGTTGCCTCTGATGAATGCTCTCCTTGCCTGGTCTGTGAGTTTTGGTGGGCGGCCTTCTCTTGGCAGGTTTGTTGTGGTGCCATATTCTTTCAATTTTTTAATAATGGATTTAAATGGTGCTCCGTGGGATGTTTAAAGTTTCTGATATTTTCTTATAACTCAACCCTGATCTGTACTTCTCCACAACTTTGTCCCTGACCTGTTTGGAGAGCTCCTTGGTCTTCATGGTGCCGCTTGCTTGGTGGTGCCCCTTGATTAGTGGTGTTGCAGACTCTAGGGCCTTTCAGAACAGGTGTATATATACACTGAGATCATGAGACAGATCATGTGACACTTAGATTGCACACAGGTGGACTTTATTTAACTAATTATGTGACTTCTGAAGGTAATTGGTTGCACCAGATCTTATTTAGGGGCTTCATAGCAAAGGGGATGAATACATATGCATGCACCACTTTTCCGTTATTTATTGTTTTAGAATCTTTTGAAACAAGTTATTTTTTTCATTTCACTTCACCAATTTTGACTATTTTGTGTATGTCCATTACATGAAATCCAAATAAAAATCTATTTAAATTACAGGTTGTAATGCCCGTGCTTCACGGTTGGGATGGTGTTCTTCGGCTTGCAAGTTCCCCCTTTTTCCTCCAAACATAACGATGGTCATAACGGCCAAACAGTTCTATTTTTGTTTCATCAGACCAGATGACATTTCTCCAAAAAGTACGATCTTTGTCCCCATGTGCAGTTGCAAACCGTAGTCTGGCTTTTTTATGGCGGTTTTGGAGCAGTGGCTTCTTCCTTGCTGAGCGGCCTTTCAGGTTATGTCAATATAGGACTCGTTTTACTGTGGATATAGATACTTTTGTACCTGTTTCCTCCAGCATCTTCACACGGTCCTTTGCTGTTGTTCTAGGATTGATTTGCACTTTTCGCACCAAAGTACGTTCATCTCTAGGAGACAGAACGCGCCTCCTTCCTGAGCAGTATGACGGCTGCGTGATCCCATGGTGTTTATACTTGCGTACTATTGTTTGTACAGATGAACGTGGTACCTTCAGGCATTTGGAAATTGCTCCCAAGGATGAACCAGACTTTTGGAGGCATACAATGATTTTTCTGAGGTCTTGGCTGATTTCTTTAGATTTTCCCATGATGTCAAGCAAAGAGGCACTGAGTTTGAAGGTAGGCCTTGAAATACATCGACAGGTACACCTCCAATTTACTCAAATGATGTCCTATCAGAAGCTTCTAAAGCCATGACATAATTTTCCTGAATTTTCCAAGCTGTTTAAAGGCACAGTCAACTTAGTGTATTTAAACTTCTGACCCACTGGAATTGTGATTAAGTGAAATAATCTGTCTGTAAACAATTGTTGGAAAGATTACTTGTGTCATGCACAAAGTAGATGTCCTAACCGACTTGCCAAAACTATAGTTTGTTAACAAGAAATGTGTGGAGTGGTTGAAAAACGAGTTTTAATGACTCCAACCTAAGTGTATGTAAACTTCAGACTTCAACTGTAAATATATATTGCTGAGGATTTGTATTTATTTAATCAATTTCAGAATAAGGCTGTAACGTAACAAAATGTGGAAAAAGTCAAGGGGTCTGAATACTTTCCGAAGGCACTGTGTGTTTATATATGTATGTACACACACACACACACACACACAGTGCCTTCGGAAAGTATTCAGACCCCTTGACTTTTTCCACATTTTGTTACGTTACAGCCTTATTCTAAAATTGATTAAATAAATACAAATCCTCAGCAATCTATACACAATACCCCATAATGACAAAGCGAAAACAGGTTATTAGGTACACCGATCTAGTATCTACAAGGTGTCAGAAACATTCCACAGGGATGTTGGTCCATGCTGACGCGATGGCATCACGCAGTTGCTGCAGGACAGCAGTTCATTCACGCAGCAAACAGCCCGTTCCAGATTCTCTATTGGGTTGAGGTCTGGGGGCTGCGAAGGCCACTCAAGTAAACTGAACTCGCTGTCATGTTCCAGGCAATGTTTTTCCACTCAACTGTCCAGTGTTTGTGATCGCGTGCACACTGGAGCCGCTTCTTGTTTTTAGCTGATAGGAGTGGAACCGTGTGGTCGTCTGCTGCAATAGCCCATCCTTGACAAGGATCGACGAGTTGCACGTTCCGAGATGCTGTTCTGCAGACAACTGTTGTACTGCACTGTTATTTGTCCGTTTGTGGTCTGCCTGTTAGCTTGCACGATTTTTGCCATTCTCCTTCGACCCCGCTCATCAACGATCCGTTTTCACCCACAGGACTGCCACTGACTAAATGTTTTTTTTGCTTGTCGCACCTTTCTTGGTAAACCCTAGACACTGTTGTGCGTGAAAAGCCCAGGAGGGCGGCCGTTTCTGAGATACTGGAACCAGTGCGTCTGGCAACAACGATCATACCACGCTCAAAGTCGCTTAGGTCACTCGTTTTGCCCATTCTAACGTTCAATCGAGCAGTAACTGAATGCCTCGATGCCCGTCTGCCTGCTTTATATAAAAAGCCACAGCCACGTGACTCACTGTCTGTAGGAGCAATCCATTTTCATGAACTCGGTGGTGTACCTAAAACTGTGCCTTCAGAAAGTATTCATACCCCTCAACTTATTCCACATTTTGTTAATCAATAAAAATTGATTAAATAGATAGTTTTTCCTCACCGATCTACACACAATACCCCATAATGACAAAGTGAAAACATGTCAAATTGGTTGTTGATCATTGCTAGATAACCATTTTCACGTCTTGCCATAGATCTTCAAGTAGATTTAAGTCAAAACTGTAAATCGGCCACTCAGGAACATTCACTGTCTTCTTGGTAAGCAATTCCAGTGTAGATTTGGCCTTGTGTTTTAGGTTATTGTCCTGCTGAAAGGTGAATTAATCTCTGAGAGTCTGGTGGAAAGCAGACTGAACCAGGTTTTCCTCTACGATTTTGCCTGTGCTTAGCTCCATTCCGTTTTTATTCTGAAAAACTCCCCAGTCCTTAACGATTACAAGCATACCCATAACATGATGCAGCCACCACTTTGCTTGAAAATATGGAGAGTGGTACTCAGTAATGTGTTGTATTGGAATTGCCCCAAACATAACACTTTATACCATGGCATTGTTGAATACTCCTTTCTGATTAGCTTGAAGGGCATTCCCATGAGGGGCCAGTATGAAAAATGTATGCACTCACTAATTGTAAGTCACTCTGGATAAGAGCGTCTGCTAAATGACAACAACAAAAAAGTCATTCTAGAGCATGCATTATTTCCCTATAACACATGGTAAAATTCAATAGCTATAGTTCATTTTTACATGTTTTGTTTGAGCTGCTTTTGAAAGCAAAAGTTGAATTGAAAACAATATTGGTATTGTTGAATTCGATTTTCATAATAGCAAGCTAGGACTGATTGTTTGGTTAGCTAAACTAGCAAGTCTGTTTGTTATGTTACCATGGCAACTAGTACTGTAGCTATCTAGTAAACCTGCTAGCTACGTCAGTGGATGTTGAACACATTTCTAGTGGCAAATGTGTTAAATTATAGCCATGGTATAAAAGGGATAATCAACTCGAGGCTCTATGCGTTCTCTGGAAAAGAATGCAACTCAGTTGAAGGTCAGTTCCACTCCACGTCGTTCATTATTTTCCATAGAACGCATCGATAGCCCCTCGTTGACTATCCCTTATGTATTCAGGAAAAAAAAGTCCTGCAGTATTATTTTAGTGCCTTGTTGCAAACAGGATGCATGTTTTGGAATATTTGCATTCTATACAGGCTTCCATCTTTTCACTCTGTCAATTAGGTTAGTATTGTGGAGTAACTACAATGTTGTTGAGCCATCCTCAGTTCTCCTATCACAGCCATTAAACTCTGTAATAGTTTTAAAGTCACCATTGGCCTCATTGTGAAATCCCTGAGAGGTTTTCTTCCTTTCCGGCAACTGAGTTAGAAAGGACACCTGTATCTTTGTAGTGACTGGGTGTATTGATACACCATCCAAAGTGTAATTAATAGCTTCACCATGCTTAAAGGGATATTCAATGTCAGCTACCAATAGGTACCCTTCTTTGCGAGGCATTGGAAAACCTCCCTGGTCTTTGTGGTTGAATCTGTGTTTGAAATTAACTGCTCGACTGAGGGACCTTACAGATAATTGTATGTGTGGGGCACAGCAAAATCATGTTAAACACTATTATTGCACACTTATTTTGTGACTTGTTAAGAAATGTTTTACTGCTTAACATATTTTGGCTTGCCATAATAAAGAGGTTGAAAACTCAAGACATTTCAGCTTTTCATTTTTAATTCATTTGTAAAAATTTCAGGGGGGAAATAATTCCACAATGACATTATGGGGTATTTTGTGTAGGCCAGTGACCAAAACATCTCAATTTAATCCATTTTAAATTCAGGCTATAACAACAAAATGTGGAAAAAGTCAAGGGGCGTGAATACTTTCTGAAGGCACTGTATATGGGGTTTGAGGTTATTTCTGCAGCTGATAGGGCTGTTTAAGTTCCATGGGAGAGATAGAAATATGACTCAACATTCCAGCCTACTCACTAGTTTCTGTTTTACTCATTGAAAATGGGTGTATTAGTGACTCATCTGTAGAGGCGGGTTGTGAATGACTGAATTTGTGTGTGGTGGTGGTGCACAGACAGAGGGGTGATCTCACCTGTGTTGCAGATCTCCATGTGGATGGTAAAGATGGAGTGGGAGCGGGAGGAGTCCTTGTTCATCAGGGTGTAGCCCACAGATCGATTCCCCCAGCCCTGAACCATAATGTGCTCACACTCCCCCACGCTGTGCACTGTGTGCAAGGAGAGATCTCGCACATATACACCATGCTCTGGGTGCTCCTTCAGCTGACATCCGCCAACAAGCACACGCACACAAACAACAAACCTGTCATCATATGAGGACACCTTAACAAACTCACAAACAGGCACACACTCCCCTGTCCTATTCTTAAGTCGCCAAGGTAACAACCATTGTGCCGGAAATACAAATGCCCACCGCACAATGAAGTTGTTCCTTTCCTATAATCCCATGGCAAGAAACAATCTCTATGTCAGAAATATAAATGTGCAGTACTTAAAATATTAATCCCCCTCTAATATTCTGGTACTATGGTTTCTTACCTCCATTTTCTGTTTGGTGTCATTTCCCAAAAGGTCTCGGATTTCTTCATTGTAGATCTCTAAGTAGGAAGCCCTCACCAGGAACTTTGTATTTTCTGCACACTATCTTACACAGAAGACAACTAATGAATAAGAACCTATTCTTAAGAGGAAACACTTGATAATGAAGCACATTCATGTGACCTACAGTATTACAACCTGGCCACTCAAATAGGCCCTGCCAGTCATACAAAGGCCTTGTCTGAGGCCAGCTTTTACAACCACAGCACTTCTGAAATAATGATCCCCACCAACTTATCCTTGGTGGCAGCACAATATTGAAGGTGAAGACTGTACCTGAATGCTCTCGAAGATGTGTTCAAAGGCCCTTGGGATGACCCCTCTCTGGGCTGCTGGCTCAGACACACCCTGCATGGTGAAGGACTTGCCACTTCCAGTCTGGCCATATGCAAAAATTGTTCCATTGTACCCTTCAGTCACCCCCTGTTGGTAGAAAGAACAGTCTGTTTGCATCAGCTATTTGCATCAGCTATCACATTATCAATTTACAGTGCAAAGACAAATTGACATGCTTGTAGAACATGTTTTAAGCTATAGGCCTGTATGCTTACAATTAACTTCAGCAGTAGATTGATGGCAGCCTCTTCTCTAAATGTTGCAATTATTGCATTAGCAAGGGGATATAGCTTAGGTGGCAGTGGCACACTTGTTTTCCTAACTGTTACATGTATTTAGTTTCAGATCTCTACTGGAGGTGTCCAATAACCCAAGAGCTGGTGCTGCTGCATGAAATCCACCAAAAGCAAGTTGTGAAAATGTAGTAGGATTTATTGTAGGCCTACCTCAACCAAAGGGTAGGCGATCTCGTTGTACATCTGCTCAGTGGTTTGGTCAATGAAGTAGGTTCCATCAAAGGTGAATTGTTTTGGTGGCTCCTCCTTCGCCCCTGGCTTCTTGATCAAACACTGACACCTACTCATCTCTACTGATACTACCATCTTACAATTCAGGATTTGCTCCCTCTCATTCATCGGCCGACACCTGACCACTACCTTCACTGACTCTGAAACCATTTTTGCCTCGGTCTTCTTGGGATGTCTGATATCAGGCAAACACTGGTGACAAGCTAGCAAGGCAAAGTCTGACAACAATGTTTGTCTATAAGAATGATCTCTTGATATTGGCTACAAAAGTCAATATAATCATTGATATCATTGGCTACTAATGTCAATATCAATCATCAGTTGTTGAATCCATTTCAGGCATTGTGCAAGCTAGTGGCAAGAAAAAATTAATAGCTTAGATTACATTTGTAGCTAAACAATTAATCTTTCTAGCAGCTATGACAGACGTCATCATTCCAGCTGACATACTACTGATCTGATCAGAATAACAAAGTCTAACGTTAACCTGTTGATCTGGTCACAGAAGCAGGATAGCAAATCAGCATGATAGCCAGATAGCTAGTAGCTAACTAAGCTAGCTATTTCACATTGACCAAGTATCAAAGCAAGCACAACCTGTAACATTACTGACGTTAGCTAACATATCAGACCACTTATCGGTTGGAATCCCTTCCGTCACATCAATTGCTTAAACATTTAGGATTGGCAGATGACATGTCCTTCAATGAATACAATCCGTGCACATAAACAAAACAAAAGGCTAAGCAAAGACCATCAGATCTGTCGCTCTGTCTGTATGTCTGTCTTCCCACGGTGTTCCAAGTTGCTAGGCAACCATAAACTTCTGTGATAAACCACGTCATGTTATAAAGTGCCAAGAAGAATCTTCCAATCGTTCCAAAGTCCATTATATTTTTTTACTACACAAACAGACTTAGATCAAGTTCATATAAATATGTGTTCATTTATGCATATGTATACAGTATACAATATGGGAATGCATACAATTATAAAACACAACAATACACTTGTGTTCAGCAAGTACATTTCTCTGTAATCAAAATGAAGAAATACTGCTAGTTCTCACAGAACACCTTAAAAAGATGGCTGTGAAAAACACACATTCAGAAAGACAGCTTAACATGAGGCAGAGTCTTAATGTACAAAAAAAACCTTAGTCTGCAAAATCTATATAAAAAAGTCCCTATATAGTCTATAGCACACACACCATATTCCTACGTTTTAAAATAATATAATTGAAACGTATTAAAATAATATAATTCAAAACGTAGGTGAAGTAGGTGCAGCTAAAACACAGAAGAATATACTCAAACATACATAGCTTTTTGACATTAAAACAAGCCTACATCCCAGAGGCTGTGCCAAAATGTTACTCTACTTATCACAATTCACCTGCTGGAGGTAAATGTGATAGTTAGAGTTGTGTTTCTATCAGAAATCTGAAAACAATAACAAACGTGAAGCATGCAAGTGAATAAATGATACTATATTTAAGAAGATGTCAGTGTAACATATGGTCAGTGTCTCTTTGAGAATGGGATACATCGATTAATCCAATGATCAGAAATGGCTTTTAAACCCATTGTTTCCTCTGGGTATATTTTGCATTCTTTCTTTTGAGGCCTTGGTGTAGGGCTAAAGGCAGTGCCTTACCAACGTTCTCCTCCCACTCATAGCAGTGGTTCACACGGGCACAACTCAGCGGACAGTCAAGCTCCCCCTTGATATCTGTGTAGTAGTCTATCAAGGCAGCAATGGTGCTAAATTCTATGTGGCAGTTCTAGTATAAAAACATAAAAATACTAATTACTACATTGCTAGTGGAAAAGACATTACACTTAAAAGCAAGACAAATATGAATAATTGACAAGACCGCTCACCTCAAGCAGGTATTTCCCATTGGAGGTGTTGTCTACTAGGTGGGTGACCAGTCCAGAAGAGAAACGAATTATGAGAGAGCCACAGCCAGGTCTCTTAGGATTGGGGCATAACAGGTATGACCCCAGGACATCCTCTGCAAGCAGGGAGGAGCTGCTGTCACTGCAACACATAATAAGGATTTAGAGACCACTGACAGTTCAGATGAGTTCTCATCAAGCGACAGTGGTGGAAAAAGTACTCAATTGTCATACTTGAGTAAAATTGACTCAAGTAAAAGTGAAAGTCACCCAGTAAAATACTACTTACGTAAAAGTCTAAATGTATTTGGTTTTAAATATACTTACGTTTCAAAAGTAAATGGAATTGCGTCATTAAAACTCGTTTTTCAACCACTCCACACATTTCTCGTTAACAAACTATAGTTTTGGCAAGTTGGTTAGGACATCTATTTTGTGCATGACACAAGTAATTTTTCCAACAATTGTTTACAGACAGATTATTTCACTTATGTTTCACTGTATCACAATTCCAGTGGGTCAGAAGTTTACATACACTAAGTTGACTGTGCCTTTAAACAGCTTGGAAAATTCAGGAAAATTATGTCATGGCTTTAGAAGCTTCTGATAGGCTAATTGACATCATTTGAGTCAATTGGAGGTATACCTGTGGATGTATTTCAAGGCCTACCTTCAAACTCAGTGCCTCTTTGCTTGACATCATGGGAAAATCAAAATAAATCAGCCAAGACCTCAGAAAAACAATTGTAGACCTCCACAAGTCTGGTTCATCCTTGGGAGCAATTTTCAAATGCCTGAAGGTACCACGTTCATCTGTACAAACAATAGTGCGCAAGTATAAACACCATGGGACCACGCAGCCGTCATACCGCTCAGGAAGGAGACGCGTTCTGTCTCCTAGAGATGAATGTACTTTGGTGCGAAAAGTGCAAATCAATCCCAGAACAACAGCAAAGGACCTTGTGAAGATGCTGGAGGAAACAGGTACAAAAGTATCTATATCCACAGTAAAACAAGTCATATATCGACATAACCTGAAAGGACGCTCAGCAAGGAAGAAGCCACTGCTTCAAAACCGCCATAAAAAAGCCAGACTACGGCTTGCAACTGCACATGGGGACAAAGATCGTACTTCTTGGAGAAATGTCCTCTGGTCTGATGAAACAAAAATAGAACTGTTTGGCCATAATGACCATCGTTATGTTTGGAGGAAAAAGGGGATGGCTTGCAAGCCGAAGAACACCATCCCAACCGTGAAGCACGGGGGTGGCAGCATCATGCTGTGGGGGTGCTTTGCTGCAGGAGGGACTGGTGCACTTCACAAAATAGATGGCATCATGAGGAAGGATAATTATGTGGATTTATTGAAGCAACATCTCAAGACATCAGTCAGGAAGTTAAAGCTTGGTCGCAAATGGGTCTTCCAAATGGACAATGACCCCAAGCATACTTCCAAAGTTGTGGCAAAATGGCTTAAGGACAACAAAGTCAAGGTATTGGAGTGGCCATCACAAAGCCCTGACCTCAATCCTATAGAAAATGTGTGGCCAGAACTGAAAAAGCGTGTGCGAGCAAGGAGGCCTACAAACCTGACTCAGTTACATCAGCTCTGTCAGGAGGAATGGGCCAAAATTCACCCAACTTATTGTGGGAAGCTTGTGGAAGGCTACCCGAAACGTTTGACCCAAGTTAAACAATTTAAAGGCAATGCTACCAAATACTAATTGAGTGTGCGTAAACTCCTGACCCACTGGGAATGTGATGAAAGCTTAAATAAATCATTCTCTACTATTATTCTGACATTTCACATTCTTAAAATAAAGTTGTGATCCTAACTGACCTAAAACAGGGAATTTTTACTAGGATTAAATGTCAGGAATTGTGAAAAACTGAGTTTAAATGTATTTGGCTAAGGTGTATGTAAACTTCCGACTTCAACTGTAGGTATCAAAAGTAAAAGTATAAATCATTTCAAATACCTTAAATTAAGCAAACCAGAAGGCCCATTTTTTTTAATTTACAGATAGCCAGGGGCACACTCCAACACTCAGACATAATTTACAAACAAAGCATTTCTGTTTAGTGAGTCCGCCAGATCAGAGGCAGTAGGGATGACCATGGATGTTCTCTTGATAAGTGCGGTAATTAGACCATTTTCCTGTCAAAATATAATGCATACTTTTGGGTGTCAGGGAAAATGTATGGAGTAAAAAGTACATTATTTCCTTTAGGAATGTAGTGAAGTAAAAGTTGGCAATAATATAAATAGTAAAGTAAAGCACAGATACCCCAAAAAACTACTTAAGTAGTACTTTACAGTATTTTTACTTAAGTACTTTACACACTGTCAAGTGAACACACCATAAAACACACTAGGAACTGGTCTGGCATCAGTATGAGTGAGGTAAATGCAAGAGCGAGAACTCACGTGGTGATGCCAGCCCAACACCACACTGCTTGAGCCAGAGCTTCTTCTGTTTCAGCAAGGCTCGGGGCCCGGGCTCTCCTCACTGGCATTTTGTCCTGCCCCTTTCCTGTTTCACACACATGATGAGAGATTCCTTAGCATCTTGTGATGATCACATTCCAAGAGGTCCCTCTAGGGAAATATTTCAACATTACCTAATGAACTGTTTCACTCTTGAAAGTGCTCTCTGCACACTTGGCCCACCTTGTGGAGAGTTTAGTAGATCCTGGAGGTGGCGTTGTTTGTGAGGGCTGTAAGTGAAGGAGCGATAGGCCCCTGAGCGCAGAACTTTGTTGCGGATGGCTCTCTTACGCACCAGGGAAGGAGAGGAGGTGAAGACCTCCTCTTGGCTGCTCAGTTGTTCCTCAGTTGTTCTGTTGTTCTTCAATGGGAAGACCTACAATAAAGACCCATAGAAAGTGTTAACTGGTCAACTGCTAGGCCAGCACAATGTACAGGGCTCAGCAAATAAAATAAAAATGGCACAGTGAAATAATGCTTTCATAATTCAGTTAAAACACAAACACAGGTTTGTCCTGACCTTTTCCCCTGGGAGTAAGCCCTGAGTGGGGGCCCTTCGGAACGACACAAGGGCACTGACACTGAGAGGGAAGCCCTGGTTGAGGAGGGAGGGGGCACGGCTAGGCAGTGGGCCGACAGACTCATCCTGTGCCTCCTCTGGGTGCTTCTCCAGGTAGGACAGCTGGAAACAGCGGCACAGCAACAGGTTCAGGAACTGGGCCTGGGAGAAAACAACATACCCACAGAGAGACAAATCAGACACAAGAAACTGCAGCTTAACAGACACACAGAGGGATTCTGTTGTAATCATCTTGAGAGATAAAGATCCAATGGAGGTTCTTACTGCTCTGGCATGCCTAGCCTTGAAAAGGTGGCAGTATAGCTGGGCATCGGGGCTGCCTGGGTTGTGGGAAACAAAGGCGAACTGGCCGTCCGAGGGGCGGGCAGTGGAAAGGGAGACCCTTCGTAGAGCATGGGCCATGAGGAGGGTCTATAGACAAGGAAGAGGAAAGTAATTCACAAAAGGAAAACAATTATGTTGACTTTTAAGACGGGGAAGTTAAACTCTTACCGTCTCATCTTCATCATACACCTTCACCCCTTTGATGGAAAATTTCAGGGACACAGACCTCCTTTTCTTACATGTCTGTGAAAAAGAAATTTCAACAACTCAGGCAACACTTTTCGTTTCTGACTTCTTTGACTTTGGGCTGTCTAGAAATTCCATATCTCCACCATAATAAGTTGTGAACAGTCAAAACTTGCTTTAATGTACTGCTGCTGCTTTCTAACCTTTCATTACCAGCACCTACTTTGAGAGACTTGAGCTGTGTGTGCAACTGCTGCATCTGATCGTCCAAACAGCAGTCGTCCACGTGAAAAGAGCCAACATACTATATAAACAAGAAAGACTATGTTACACATACTATCAATTTTTGATTATAGATAGACACGTAATATAACCAATTAACAAAGCCTTAAAAGGTGCAGATTATAAGGGAAGTAGAGTCCACTCAGATTTCATCCTTTTAGGACGCACTTTTTTTTCTTCAAACTAATATACTGAACTAAACTTTTTTTTTAAAGGTAGGGGCGTGGATCAGAAAACCAGTCAGTACAGTGGGGGAAAAAAGTATTTAGTCAGCCACCAATTGTGCAAGTTCTCCCACTTAAAAAGATGAGAGAGGCCTGTAATTTTCATCATAGGTACACGTCAACTATGACAGACAAAATGAAAAAAGAAATTCCAGAAAATCACATTGTAGGATTTTTAATGAATTTATTTGCATATTATGGTGGAAAATAAGTATTTGGTCAATAACAAAAGTTTCTCAATACTTTGTTATATACCCTTTGTTGGCAATGACACAGGTCAAACGTTTTCTGTAAGTCTTCACAAGGTTTTCACACACTGTTGCTGGTATTTTGGCCCATTCCTCCATGCAGATCTCCTCTAGAGCAGTGATGTTTTGGGGCTGTCGCTGGGCAACACAGACTTTCAACTCCCTCCAAAGATTTTCTATGGGGTTGAGATCTGGAGACTGGCTAGGCCACTCCAGGACCTTGAAATGCTTCTTACGAAGCCACTCCTTCGTTGCCCGGGCGGTGTGTTTGGGATCATTGTCATGCTGAAAGACCCAGCCACATTTCATCTTCAATGCCCTTGCTGATGGAAGGAGGTTTTCACTCAAAATCTCACGATACATGGCCCCATTCATTCTTTCCTTTACACGGATCAGTCGTCCTGGTCCCTTTGCAGAAAAACAGCCCCAAAGCATGATGTTTCCACCCCCATGCTTCACAGTAGGTATGGTGTTCTTTGGATGAACTCAGCATTCTTTGTCCTCCAAACACGACGAGTTGAGTTTTTACCAAAAAGTTATATTTTGGTTTCATCTGACCATATGACATTCTCCCAATCCTCTTCTGGATCATCCAAATGCACTCTAGCAAACTTCAGACGGGCCTGGACATGTACTGGCTTAAGCAGGGGGACACGTCTGGCACTGCAGGATTTGAGTCCCTGGCGGCGTAGTGTGTTACTGATGGTAGGCTTTTTTACTTTGGTCCCAGCTCTCTGCAGGTCATTCACTAGGTCCCCCCGTGTGGTTCTGGGATTTTTGCTCACCGTTCTTGTGATCATTTTGACCCCACGGGGTGAGATCTTGCGTGGAGCCCCAGATCGAGGGAGATTATCAGTGGTCTTGTATGTCTTCCATTTCCTAATAATTGCTCCCACAGTTGATTTCTTCAAACCAAGCTGCTTACCTATTGCAGATTCAGTCTTCCCAGCCTGGTGCAGGTCTACAATTTTGTTTCTGGTGTCCTTTGACAGATCTTTGGTCTTGGCCATAGTGGAGTTTGGAGTGTGACTGTTTGAGGTTGTGGACAGGTGTCTTTTATACTGATAACAAGTTCAAACAGGTGCCATTAATACAGGTAAAGAGTGGAGGACAGAGGAGCCTCTTAAAGAAGAAGTTACAGGTCTGTGAGAGCCAGAAATCTTGCTTGTTTGTAGGTGACCAAATACTTATTTTCCACCATAATTTGCAAATAAATTCATTAAAAATCCTACAATATGATTTTCTGGATTTTTTTTTCTCAATTTGTCTGTCATAGTTGACATGTACCTATGATGAAAATTACAGGCCTCTCTCATCTTTTTAAGTGGGAGAACTTGCACAATTGGTGGCTGACTAAATACTTTTTCCCCCCACTGTATATGGTGTGACATCTCCTTCGCATATACTTGATCAGGCAGTTAATTGTGTAATGTTGTCCCACTCCTCTTCAATGGCTGTGAGAAGTTGCTGGATATTGCCGGGAACTGGAACAGGCTGTCATACACGTCGATCCAGAGCATCCCAAATATGCTCAATGGGTGACATGTCTGGTGAGTATGCAGGCCATGGAAGAACTGGGACATTTTCAGCTTCCAGGAATTGTGTACAGATCCATGCGACATGTGGCAGTGCATTATCATGCTGAAACATGAGGTGATGGCAGCGGATGAATGGCACGACAATGGGCCTCAGGATCTCATCACGGTATCTCTGTGCATTCAAATTGCCATCGATTAAATGCAATTGTGTTCGTTGTCCGTAGCTTATGCCTGCCCATACCACTCTGTTCACAATGTTGACTTCAGCAAAACGCTCGCCCACACAACACCATACACGTGGGCTGCTGTTGTGAGGCTGGTTGGACGTACTGCCAAATTCTCTAAAACGATGTTGGAGGCGGCTTATGGTACAGAAATGAACATTAAATTATCTGGCAACAGCTCTGGTGGACATTCCTGCAGTCAGTATGCCAATTGCATGCTCCCTCAAAACTTGAGACATCTGTGGCATTGTGTTATGTGACAAAACTGCACATTTTAGAGTGGCCTTTTATTGTCCCCAGCACAAGGTGCACCTGTGTAATGATCATGCTGTATAATCAGCTTCCTGTCAGGTGGATGAATTATTTTTGCAAAGGAGAAATGCTCACTAACAGGGATGTATGAAATGTATGAAAAATGTATGCACTCACTAACTGTAAGTCGCTCTGGATAAGAGCGTCTGCTAAATGACTAAAATGTAAAATGTAAATGTAAACTAATGTGCATTTTGTGTGTATGGAACATTTCTGGGATATTATATTTCAGCTCATAAAACATGGGACCAACACTTTATATGTTGTGTTTATAGTTTTGTTCAGTGTAGTAACCAAATTCTATATGGGGAGAAAGATGTGTTTTGCTCTGTCAGTGGATATAGCTTACCTCAGCTGACCTTGTAACTGTGCCATCATCCCTGACCGGTGTCTCACCCATCCTTCTCACTCCTAAATTGGCCTACTTCTTTATCCTGCTGTTTCTGGAGGAGTTCCCCTGAGTTCTGCAGGATCAGAATATAGCAGAGAGCATTACAGCACCCAGCAGCATCAACATTACACATGTGAATGATGCGTCATATGCACTGTTTGGTAGTGTTATTTTCCCCATGGGAATAAAATGCTTTTGTAGCCAGGTAGTAGTGATAAAAGGAGCTGTGAACAACTCAAACCTTTTCATTTTAAGTAAGAAACAGGTATGTTTGGTGCAATGGTGTAAAGTACTTAAGTAAAAATACTTTAAAGTACTACTTAAGTACTTTTACTTCACTACATATACAGTACATTTTACTCCATACATTTTGTCCTCACACCCAAAAGTACTCGTTACATTTTGAATGCTTAGCAGGCGGGGAAAATTGGAGGGGTCCAGCTGCAACATCATCTCTCAGAGCAGTCATCCCTCAGGGTCTGTATGCTGCCACCTACTGATATGTCATCTCTCAGGAAAAGTGGGGGTTTCGAAAGGAGTGGACGTTTCGAAAGGAACCATATAAGGAGAAGTGGGGGTTTCGAAAGGTGCCACTCAAGACATCAGTCATGGTCTGTTGAGACAACAGTAAGGAATTTCAGTTATGCAAAAAAAAAAAAAGTATATTCACTCATTGTGAGCAGGTCTTTGAACGTTACCTACTGGTAGCCATGTATGTAACATTACGTTTTTCGTAAATGTAAACGCTAGCTAACGTTAGATACCTTAACTTATAAAACATGCATTAATTGTGCAATGTATTATTTAATGTTGAATATTTGAAATAATAATAATTGTAATATCAAGTCATGGCGGTTCTAGTAGTAATGGAATTCCAGCGCTTCTAGTGTTAAAAGACTCCTTTGAAGCCACACTTCTCCTTATATGGTTCCTTTCAAAATCCCCACTTCTCCTTATATGGTTCCTTTCGAAACCCCCACTTCTCCTTATATGGTTCCTTTCGACACCCCCACTTTTCCTAAGCGATGCACTGCACTGAGAGATGACATATCAGTAGGCGGAAGCATAGACACCCTGAGGGAAGACATCGCAGCTGGACCCTATTGGAAAATCGTCCAATTCATGCACTTATCAAGAGAACATCCCTGGTCGTCCCTACTGCCTCTGATCTGGCAGTCACTAAAACCAAATGATGTCTGAGTGTTGGAGTGTGCCCTTGGCTACCCATAAATTTAAAAAACAAGACAATTGTGCAGTCTGGTTTGCTTAATATATTTTCGATACTTTAGTATATTTAAGCAATTACATTTACTTTGATACTTAAGTATATTTAAATCCAAACCCTTTTAGACTTTAACTCAACGTGTATTACTGAAGTATGACAATTGGGTAATTTTTCCACCACTGGTATGGTGGTAGATAGGAATTCTTGAGCAATTTCCAAAAATCGAGACTGTCAGATCATTATCTGCCCCTTGTCCATTCCGAAAATGCTATGCGCACCTGCAATTTAATAGGTTGTTGTTTGAATCTTCTAATTCATTACACACACACACACACATTGTCAGTAGCATACAAATCACTATTACTGGTGTGGATTTCACCAGATGTAGAAATTAATTCCATCGTCTACAGCAGTCTGAGCATGCGAGTATCACCCATTAGTCTGTTGTATGAGCGGCAAGCTCAAACATTTACGCAAGGATTAAGTTAAACGCAGGTACACCTTCGGCAAAGTAAACATGTCAATAAATCAATGCTAATAAAATCTCTTACTTTAGGGCCACAACAAGGCTCTTTTCACCTCCGCACTCTTGTACTCCGGACCCCGTGCCACAGTTCCAAACTCTGATTTCCCCTCCCAGTCCATGTTACCTCACCATCAAGCTGACGCCCAACGAGACGCGCATTCCTTTAGAGACAGATTTCAGATGAAAAAACGTTTTTACGCACGATGCGGCGATATAAATCAGCCCATACTCATGCATTTCTGTAGCCCATATTGATGGTCCATCCACATTTTCCTTAAAGAAAATACCTGATCTTTCTCTAGCATGTCCGTGACCATGTTGACTATTCTTTCCTCAAGTAGGCCTACACTCATTGCGCAATATAGGTATAGGTCTAGATCTAGGACTTATTCATTACGCCGCTTCTGTTGCAAAACATTTTTTTAAACGGAACGAAACGGAGGGACCTACCTGAATTTGTCAAAAATAAACTCGTTTTAACTATTTGGACTAATGATTAATACACCCCTGCACTGACTTGCAGCACCCCATCCATCCTTAATATAAATGTATGCTCATTTCCCTCTTGTTCATCAACATGCTCATTATTTGCATATGTAAATATGTTATGTGGTCCTCTGTAGCTCAGCTGGTAGAGCACGGCGCTTGTAACGCCAGGATAGTGGGTTCGATCCCCGGGACCACCCATACACAAAAATGTATGCACGCATGCCTGTAAGTCACTTTGGATAAAAACGTCTGCTAATTGCCATATTATATTATTATGCATCTCTGAATGTGAGGAACCACTTAATTCACCAAATTATTATTTATAAGTTGTATGGCCATAGGCCTAATACATTGAAACGTTATGGTCTATTTTAATAACCCACTACTCAAACTATCCAGCACTTCATTCATCAGTGAACCAAATTGACATCTATGGATTTGTATTGTGGTCTTTAAAATGTATACTTTAGCTCCAACAGCAGACACTATTTGGTGCCTGCCTCCCATTGAGACCATGACAGAATGAAGGAAGTACAAATATAGCCATTTTAATGATGACTTGGGAAAAAGCATAACATAAAGAGTACACGCATGCAGGGTATGTATGAGCTAGGCTCCTTCAAAACAAAGTGTGTTATTCACAATCTTTCACTATTACACAGAATGTAGAAGATTTTGTATATGTTCACTTTGAATTCACTTTGATTAGCTTGTTTGTTTACACACTAAAATAAATCCCCTAATACTATGCAGTAGTACTGAAGATCATGATGACAAACAGTGCTTCCTGATCAGTTAGTCTCCAATCAAATTAAGTATTTTGCCCATCAACTGATTTGTTTCACTCAAACATTCATTTAAATAACAGATTTCGTAATAAACAAGAATTCATTACATGAAAGTTGGCTGTCATTATGCTCTCAAATTCACTTAATAGCATAAATCTCTATATCCTTTAAGATTACTCCAGATTAAACGTTGAAAAATCAAAAATGTTGTAGAGGGAGAAAGTTTCCAAAACGCTTAACAAAGGATTTGATAAAAGGAATGTGTCCAGGTAAAACATGGCAGAGTGGACTGGGAGGAAATGCAAAAATACATTATCAAAATGAAGTGCGTGAGGGAAATAAAAGTAGTGATGGAAATTTCACAATTCTTTACCTAGGCAGTTTTACATCTTTTAAGAGGCCATTCTACACAATGGCGATTAAGTTGGGTTCACAGAAATTGAACAGTTCCCAAGTACAGCAAATTGACATGAACTAATAACTGCCACATCCCAATCCTACAGAGAATAATTCTACAGCCCCAAACTGGAGGAAAACAATGATGCGAAAGAGAGCATGGATAGAGGCAGAGCACCGCTGTCTTCAGAGCTACAGTTAAACTTCCGCTGCTGGGCAATAGTAAACTCACTTCCTCCCCCTCAGGGACTTGCGGGCTGCAGGCTTGGCCTTCACTGCAGAATTGGCTGCTGCCTTCTTTGCAGGAGGTGACTTTTTGGGCGCTGGCCGCTTCGATGCCCTGCTCGTCAGCTTTTTGACGATGGGCGTTTTGGGCTTGCTCGCAGGTGCAGCTTTCTTGACTGGTGTGGGTGCCTTCTTTGAAGCTGCAGCTTTACTGGCTGCTGCAGGTTTCTTTGCTGACGGAGCTGACTTCTTGGCTGGCGGTGCTGGTTTCTTAGCTGTGGGCGCAGATCTCTTAGCTGGGGCAGCTCTTTTTTTGCCCTTAGCCCTTAACTGACTTGCCGGCCGTGACTTCTTGCTGGGGGGAGGGCGACGCGCTTTAGGTGGTGGCCTCTTCACAGCTTTCCTAAGGATCGTATTAAACAAATAAACTGTTAGCAGTGAACCATTTGAAACTAACTATGTATGACAATATGAATCAAAAACATCCTCATTGGATTTCAACCACTTGACCTTGGACTCACCTCTTAGGAGGGGGTTCATCATCTGAGTCCTCTTCCTCGGACGAGTCCTCTTCATCAGAGTCCTCATCAGACAAGTCAACTCTCTTTCTGCGTTTGTCCTTCTCTGACACTTTCTGGTCTTTCGCTTTCTGTTTTTCAGGGAACAGAATGGCTGGGCTGTGGAATAAGAAGAGACAATACGATCTCTAACCTTTCTGTTCCAGGTGAGTGAACTTCAGAAAATACTGTTCCTGGTATAGCACATGCAATGCAATGATGTACAGAGGGCAGCAATATACGTCACATAGTAATCTTCCTATAGTAATGTTCTACCTGGGGTAGTAAGGGTAGCAGAGCTGGTAAGTTCCGTTTAGCCCATTTCCAGTGATCTGATCCACCCAGCCCATAATTTTGCACTTCTGCAGGGTTCTCTTCAGGTTGTTCACTGAGGGAAGAGAAGTGCCCAGGGTCAATAAAGCATCTTTACATCTCTGATTTAACCTAGCTAATGAGAGAGCTCCTGCAGTTGCAGGTAGGTATTCACATCTTGCCAAAGCAGTGTTTCTATTAGGAGAGTCAGGGAGCAGGTCTTACCCACGCGGTACTCCATGCTGTCCTGGTTAGTCTCTAACAGGAATTTGCGGAGTGTGGTGGTACTGCAAGTCTTGGGTTCGTTCATTGCCACAATGGCTGTCATGATGGCATCCTCCAGGGGACCGCCTTTAAGCAGGAACTTGCCCCCTTCCCGCTTCAGCTGTGAGAGTAAGAGAGGGGCTGAGATAAACGCCTCATACAGAGATCCAAAATCATAGACTCCAAAAGCCTTTATGAAGTACACTGAATTGTGCATTCCTTTAGTATAAGACTAACCTGAAATGTTCCAGAGGCACCTTTTCCAGTGATCTGCTCCAGGTGCCCCTTGTCCACAGCTCTCACCAGGCCACTCTTTAGGATATCTGGCCTAGGAATGAAATAGTGATTGCATTGGAAATTCTATTTTAATCCCCACCAAGACACACCACTAATGGACATCCCAGAGTTCAAAGGTAGTGGGTTCCTTCTTTTCAGACTGCATTAAACATGATGTAGATTTGGGTTGTGCAGAGGGTTACATTGCTATGTCAGGTAATACTGTAAGTTAGCATGCGTTTACATACTCCAAACAGAGAATAACAGACCCCGCCACTGCACCCACCCCAATATAATAATAAAAAGGTATTTACCTATGCTCCACGTTGAGTTGAGGGAAGTGCTGCTCCACATATTTCTTGATCAGGATATAAGACGCCTCTTTGGGCTCACATAGTCGTGTGATGATCAAGGGCAGAGCATCCCCAAGGGTCTCTGCCTTCAACCCAGGTGCCACGGCGATCGGCTTCTAGCACCAAACCATCACAATCAGAATCACTGTCAAACACAGTGGTGCTCTGTAGCTCAGTTGGTAGAGCATGGCGCTGGCAACGCCAGGAGAGTGGGTTCAGTTCCTGGGACCACCCATACGAAAAATGTACGCAAGCATGACTTTAGATAAGTGTCTGCTAAATTCTTCAAATTCTGTCTGCTTAAAGCCAATGGAACAATCACATAATGGTCAATTGTAATTGTTAGTGTTTAAGTTTGCAGATAGGTGACTGAAAATTACCTACCCCTTTAGCAGTTGGTTTATTAGGGGGCTGCTTCCCAATGGTAAAGCTTCCAGAAAGGCCTTTACCCTTCAGCTGTGAGAGTGAATAAAAAAAGGTAAAGCAACAGCAGTATGCAGGTAGATAAAACATCAGACACACAGGATAAAAGGGCACCACAACAAGTCACCCACAGATCGAAAAACACTAAGACTGCCGCCTACCATTTGCAATTAATGTTAATACATGGTCAACTTTGGTCAGGACTCCTCACCTGTTTGATGGTGCCCTTCTCCAGCTGCCTCTTGAGAGCCTTCTTGAGGAGGAATTTCCTCTTCTCCAGGTTAGGGTATTTCTTCACAATGTACTTCATGACAGAATGGGCTGAGGCCCCAGTCTTCTCCTTGCAGGACTGCAGAGAGGAAATATGACAGTTGTGCTGCATTCATGGGGAATAAAGAATAACTACGTAATACAAAGGTTAAGTGTGTTGTTATGTTCAGACCTCAATAGCCTCGATGAGGATGTCGTCCATCTTAGGCGGCTGCATGGTGGAGGTGCTCTTATTTGTGAGCGTTGCACGTTTGCTGGCAGACATGGTGGCCCAAGCGGGAATAGCCTTTTTCACTGGCTTCTTGACTTTGTCTTTCACTCCATCCTTCTCTCTGCAACCAACCAACAAAACAGAGAGCAAGACAATGAGTAATTAAACATTAATCTACACGGATATGAAAGCAACATCCGCACGGTATGAGCATAAGCAACTCACTCTTTCTTCTCAGACGTTTCCCCCTCAGCAGTCTTCTCTCCAATGGATTTATCATCTCTCTCACCATTCTCTTTTGGCTCTCCTTCACCGGTGCCCTCTCCCTCCTTGGCTACTAGGGCAGCAGGTTCTATCTCCTGCTCCTCCTCAACAGAGGCAGACTCCTCAGAACTGGCATCAGGCTCTGGAGAGAGGTGTGGGGGGGGGGGGGGGGGGGGGGGGGGGTGAGAGGGAACGACAAGGGTGAATACGTTAATTCAGCAAATAGATGTCAAGCTTTATTCACATACCACTCAACAACAACTCAGAACAATGTCAAATATTTGGGAAGTCCAATTCCACTCTTAAAATAACCACTAATTTGAAAGGATTCTTAGTGGTTAAGAGTGTTGTGCCAGTAACCGAAAGGTCGCTGGTTCTAATCCCTGAGCCGACTAGGTGAAAAATCTGTCGATGTGCCCTTGAGCAAGGCACTTAACCCTAATTGCTCCTGTAAGTCGCTCTGGATAAGAGCGTCTGCTAAATTACTAAAATGAAAAAATTTAAATACAGTGGGGAAAAAAGTATTTAGTCAGCCACCAATTGTGCAAGTTCTCCCACTTAAAAAGATGAGGCCTGTAATTTTCATCATACACGTCAACTATGACAGACAAATTGAGAAAATAAATTCCAGAAAATCACATTGTAGGATTTTTTATGAATTTATTTGCAAATTATGGTGGAAAATAAGTATTTGGTCACCTACAAACAAGCAAGATTTCTGGCTCTCACAGACCTGTAACTTCTTCTTTAAGAGGCTCCTCTGTCCTCCACTCGTTACCTGTATTAATGGCACCTGTTTGAACTTATCAGTATAAAAGACACCTGTCCACAACCTCAAACAGTCACACTCCAAACTCCACTATGGCCAAGACCAAAGAGCTGTCAAAGGACACCAGAAACAAAATTGTAGACCTGCACCAGGCTGGGAAGACTGAATCTGCAATAGGTAAGCAGCTTGGTTTGACGAAATCAACTGTGGGAGCAATTATTAGGAAATGGAAGTCATACAAGACCACTGATAATCTCCCTCGATCTGGGGCTCCACGCAAGATCTCACCCCGTGGGGTCAAAATGATCACAAGAACAGTGAGCAAAAATCCCAGAACCACACGGGGGGACATAGTGAATGACCTGCAGAGAGCTGGGACCAAAGTAACAAAGCCTACCATCAGTAACACACTACGCCGCCAGGGACTCAAATCCTGCAGTGCCAGACGTGTCCCACTGCTTAAGCCAGTACATGTCCAGGCCCGTCTGAAGTTTGCTAGAGTGCATTTGGATGATCCAGAAGAGGATTGGGAGAATGTCATATGGTCAGATGAAACCAAAATATAACTTTTTGGTAAAAACTCAGCTCGTCGTGTTTGGAGGACAAAGAATGCTGAGTTGCATCCAAAGAACACCATACCTACTGTGAAGCATGGGGGTGGAAACATCATGCTTTGGGGCTGTTTTTCTGCAAAGGGACCAGGACGACTGATCCGTGTAAAGGAAAGAATGAATGGGGCCATGTATCGTGAGATTTTGAGTGAAAACCTCCTTCCATCAGCAAGGGCATTGAAGATGAAACGTGGCTGGGTCTTTCAGCATGACAATGATCCCAAACACACCGCCCGGGCAACGAAGGAATGGCTTCGTAAGAAGCATTTCAAGGTCCTGGAGTGGCCTAGCCAGTCTCCAGATCTCAACCCCATAGAAAATCTTTGGAGGGTGTTGAAAGTCCGTGTTGCCCAGCGACAGCCCCAAAACATCACTGCTCTAGAGGAGATCTGCATGGAAGAATGGGCCAAAATTGGGCCAGCAACAGTGTGTGAAAACCTTGTGAAGACTTACAGAAAACGTTTGACCTGTGTCATTGCCAACAAAGGGTATATAACAAAGTATTGAGAAACTTTTGTTATTGACCAAATACTTATTTTCCACCATAATTTGCAAATAAATTCATAAAAAATCCTACAATGTGATTTTCTGGATTTTTTTCTTCTCATTTTGTCTGTCATAGACAAGTGGTTACTGTATTCACTCAGCCTGTCAATGCTGGGTACATATGAACCTGTGTTTGTGAGAGAGTGAGATATACAGCTGCGGAAAAAATTAAGAGACCACTGCAAAATCATCAGTTTCTCTGGTTTTACTATTTATAGGTATGTGTTTGGGTAAAAATAGCATATTTGTTTTATTCTATAAACTACTGACAACATTTCTCCAAAATTCCAAATAAAAATAGTCATTTAGAGCATTTATTTGCAGAAAATGACAACTTGTCAAAATAACAAAAAAGATGCAGTGCAAAGAAAATAAGTTCATGTTAATTTTTAAACAACACAATAGTAATGTTTTAACTTAGGAAGAGTTCAGAAATCAATTTGATGGAATAACCCTGATTTTCAATCACAGCTTTCATGTGTCTTGGCATGCTCTCCACCAGTCTTTCACATTGATGTTGGGTGACTTTATGCCACTCGCGGCGCAAAAATTCAAGCAGCTCGGCTTTGTTTGATGGCTTGTGACCATCCATCTTCCTCTTGATCACATTCCAGAAGTTTTTAATGGGGTTCAGGTCTGGAGATTGGGCTGGCCATGACAGGGTATTGATCTGGTGGTCCTCCATCCACACCTTGATTGACCTGGCTGTGTTGCATGGCGCATTGTCCTGCTGGAAAAACCAATCCTCAGAGTTGGGGAACAATGTCAAAGCAAAAGAAAGCAAGTTTTCTTCCAGGACAACCTTGTATGTGGCAACCTTGTACATCTCCTGAGTGGCGCAGTGGTCTAAGGCACTGCATCGCAGTGCTAACTGTGCCACTAGAGATCCTGGTTCGAATCCAGGCTCTGTCGCAGCCGGCCGCGACCGGGAGACTCATGGGCGGCGCACAATTGGCCCAGCGTCGTCCAGGGTAGGGGAGGGAATGGCCGGCAGGGATGTAGCTCAGTTGATAGAGCATGGCGTTTGCAACGCCAGGGTTGTGGGTTCGATTCCCACGGGGGGCCAGTATAAAAAATAAATAAAAATGTATTCACTAACTGTAAGTCGCTCTGGATAAGAGCGTCTGCTAAATGACTAAAATGTAAAAATGTTGATTCATGCGTCCTTCAAAGACAAATCTGCCCGATTCCAGCCTTGCTGAAGCACCCCCAGATCATCACCGATCCTCGTCCAAATTTCACAGTGGGTGCGAGACACTGTGGCTTGTAGGCCTCTCCAGGACTCTGTCTAACCATTAGACGACCAGATGTTGGGCAAAGCTGAAAATTGGACTCATCAGAGAAGATGAGCTTACTCCAGTCCTCTACGGTCCAATCCTTATGGACTTTTGCAAACCTCAGCCTGGCTCTTCTTTGCTTCTCATTGATGAAGGGCTTTTTTCTAGCTTTGCACAACTTCAGCTCTGCCCCTAGGAGCCTGTTTCGAACCGTCCTCGCCGTGCACTTCACCCCAGCTTCCGTTTGCCATTCTTTTTGTAGGTCACTTGATGTCATCCTACGGTTGTTGAGTGACATTCTAATGAGTTGGCGGTCATCCCGGTCAGCAGAGAGTCGTTTTCGCCCTCTGCCGGTCTGTAGCTTTGTTGTCTCCAATGTCTGCTGCTTGACCTTGTTTTTATGAACCGCTGTCTTTGAAATTTTAAGGATGGAAGCAACCTGACGCTCACTGTATCCCTCTGCCAGTAAAGCCAGAATTGAACCCTTCTTTTCCCTCACTCAAAATGTTCCCTTTCAACTATTTTGGCATGGTCAATAGTTATTGTTTGATTAATATTACTTTTGAGGTACTATTAGCACTGTTTTTGCCATCCAGCTGGTCCTATTGCAAGAGGATAGTGATGACCACAGCAGCGGTTTTTATATTTTTCCTCGTTAAATAAGATTTGGTTAATGTGATCACCTAATTGTTTTATTTAACCTTTATTTAACCAGGTAAGCTAGTTGAGAACAAGTTCTCATTTACAACTGCGACCTGGCCAAGATAAAGCAAAGCAGTGCGGAAAAAAAAAAAACAGAGGTACATATGGAATAAACAAAACGTTCAGTCAATAACACAATAGAAAATCTATATACAGTGTGTGCAAATGTAGTAAGTTATGGAGGTAAGGCAATAAATAGGCCATAGTGCAAAATAATTACAATTATAATTTAGTATTAACACTGGAGTGATAGATGTGCAGAAGATGATGTGCAAATAGAGATACTGGGGTGCAAATGAGGTAAATAAATAATGTAAATAACAATATGGGGATGAGGTAGTTGGGTGGGCTAATTACAGATGGGCTGTGTACAGGTGCAGTGATCGGTAAGCTGCTTTGATTTTTGCAGTTCGTTCCAGTCATTTGCAGCAGAGAACTGGAAGGAATGGCGACCAAAGGAGGTGTTGGCTTTGGGGATGACCAGTGAGATATACCTGCTGGAGCGCATATTATGGGTGGGTGTTGCTTTGCCTAGCAGTGATTTATTGATGACCTGGAGCCAGTGGGTTTGGTGACGAATATGTAGTGAGGGCCAGTCAACGAGAGCGTACAGTTCACAATGGTGTGTAGTATATGGGGCTTTGGACAGATGGCACTGTGATAGACTACATCCAATTTGCTGAGTAGAGTGTTGGAAGCTATTTTGTAAATGACATTGCCGAAGTCAAGGATCGGTAGGATAGTCAGTTTTACGAGGGCATGTTTAACAGCATGAATGAAGGAGGCTTTGTGGCGAAATAAGAAGCCGATTCTAGATTTAACTTTGGATTGGAGATGCTTAATGTGAGTCTGGAAGGAGAGTTTACAGTCTAACCAGACACCTAGGTACCTAATTCAGTAGAATGAGGTGTGCCTTTGTTGGAATTCAACAGACACTGGAATGGAATGGCTGTCATACATGTAGAGATGCTGATTTAAGACAAATTTGCAGTGGTCTCTTAGAAATAAATGTATTAATGTCAACATTCGTTTTTGCCACATTTATTATTTTACAGACACATTGCCACTTCCCAGTAGTGGGAACAGTAAAATTAGTCTAAAAATTATACTTTGTAAATGTAATGTAATATATATTTTTATGTTTAGCTCACATACACCTTAATGCATACTTTATGTGAGCTAAACATACAAAATATACAGTGGGGAGAACAAGTATTTGATACACTGCCGATTTT